AAAACAAAGAGTTACACTCCATCTCCAATGTTAAATACACCAGTCCTAAAAATTTCTGTTGTAACTTGAATCTGGCTCCCTCCTATTTATTTATTTTAATCACAAGTGGGAGAAAAAGGAGAAGGGGTGGTGTTTAGGTTCCCAGTGTGTAGTCCTTTGATGCCTGTCTTGATTAGAAGGAAGTGATAGGGACAGCAGATTTGAACGTGTGAGGTAAAGCCAGATGCATCTTGTTACATGGGCTGCTTTTAGAAACCTGCATTTGTTTTCTTTCAGCCTAGAGCTGCTGATAACTGGAGCTGGATGGAAGCAACTGGTATTCCCAGCACCTTTCTTCCCTTCAGTCCCTCTCAGCTGCTGCTGTAGCAGCTTCTTGCTGGGCAGCGGTGACAGAAACAACGTTGGGAGCGAGACGGTGAAGAAAACTGGACTGTTGTTCAGCCTTGCTTTGTGGAGACCACAGGTATGTGCTCTGCAAAACAACAGGTTTTCATTTGCAAAATCAGAAGCTTCTTGCCAGAGAGCTGCTTAAAGAGCAAACCAGAGGGCAGCCAGCAGCAAAACTGTTTTCCAGCTTCAGAGGTGTTCTTTCCAAAGGCCAGTATATAAACCCTTGAAGCATTAAAAGCTGTGAAAACAAATCAAGGGAAGAATGGAATGGAATTGTTCTTACCACGATAGCAAGGTCCATGAGCTTAGAAATAAAGTTACCAGAGCAGTGCAGAAAGTTACACTTCACCCTGCTCTGTGGTGTTGAGTGAGCCAGTGCAGCTGGGGAGGTGCCGAATTATTGCCTGTGGAGGGAGATTACTGCCAGAAGGGCTCTACGGGAACCAGGGAAGGAGTGTGAGGCTTTCCTTCAGTGGAGAAGGAAGAGGTGATGCTGTGTGTGGTGTGATGTAGCTGTATGAGGCATATGGAGCAGCTGCTGCACTTTTTTGATTCTACAGCCTTGCTCAAGCACTTGGATTGAAGCCTTGTTTTGATGCTTTACTGGAAAGAATTGATTTCTTATAGTGCTTTTTGTTGGTTTTTGTTTGTTTGTTTGTTTGTTTTTTTAATCTTTGGCTTTTAAGCTTTTTGACTTCTTACATGGGTGTTCTTTTCCCAGCTACTGTGAGTAGCTAGCTTTGCTCCCTCCAACCCCAGGTAATCTGAGAGAATCCTGGATTAATAGAAAATACTGAGTAGATGGTCCTGATCCCAGGAAATGGGGCAGGGGAGGGCAGGTATGCACATATCTGTATTTCTCTGGAAGCATTTCTCACTCTTGCCCTGAAGGACCACACAACATGCTGAGAAAATTAATCCAGCACCAAGAGCTGGCTTGCTTGAAGAATCTACAGACTTTTCCGAGCATTTCTTTTTCTCCCTGACATTTGCCTTTAACTTATTTGCAGCTCCCGTTACGAGGAATTTACATCAAAACCTCAGGAAACCACTTAGTGCTCTTCAAAACACAATGTTTTGGATGAGTTATTACTGAATGTGCCTTTGTGTTTTTAAAATATAGTTAATTAGCTGGATTGGTTTTGTATTACACATGCTCCTCATGGCAATTCAGCTGAAAAGCCATCACTGAATTAAATCAAGGTTACCTAATTCTCAGTCACAGGTATGATGTTGATTCACGTTTACATGTAACTCCTCCTAACACACATAATTTTTATCATTTCAAAGACAACCATCTGACAGTGACAGATGACAATTAACTCTCCCCTGTTCTCGAATTAAAAGCTATTAATTACTATTAGGTACTTTTAAACTGAAAATACCATCCTCTTAGCCCTAGACAGGCCCTAGGTGAGCAGCCAGTTGACACCTCCAGTGAGAGAGAACCATCAGCACAGGATTTTTTTCCTCTCTTTTGAACTTCTCAGCAGAAGAAAGGTGTTTCTGTCTTCACTTCAAAGGCCCTTGCTGATTGTTTTCCAAACTGGCTGTGGAGCTGAGATGGATGTGGAGGGTGGCCTTTCCTCTGTAGCTGTGGCCTTTCCTGGAGCACAGCAATGCTCTGCCATGCACAGCCCGACCTCCTTCACGTGCCTGCAAGGGCAGCCCTTTACTTTTGTTTATCCTACTGGAGAGATTCAGCTTCACTGGAGTAACTCCTGGTTAACTGCACTCACCTTTGTCAGACTGGGAAGGAACTGGAGAGGTCCAGATCAAGCTGTCAACCCAAATATTCTTAGGAGCCTTGGCAGGGAGCAACTCTGTCCTATTTTGTTCAAAATTAAAGTGATGGTGATGGGAGTGTTCAGATTATCTCAGTGTTTTATATGTTTTTGTTCAGAGTTATACATAAATATTGCAGAAGTGCAAGAGCCTATTTGAGAGACATGATCTGGACATTATTTATCAGAAATTGTTGTAGCCACTCAATCAGCAGTCCAAAAAGGACAATTTAAAAGGAGTTTTATAACCCAGCTGTAATCCTGGAAGTGCAGGAGTTGGAAGGGACTGCCATTTGGTCACCACTGATCTGTCACACCACACACAGATCACTCAGTGATGCCTCACAGGACAGGGTCTACTCCAGCTTAGTCACCAGTGAAAGGGCCACAAACCAGCCTCTCAGCCTGTTCCACTGCATAACTGCTCCTCCTAATTTTCCCCTGGTATTTATCATAGTTCTTCCCTTTTGCAGTTCACATCCACATCCTTTTCCTGCCCCTGTTTATTAATGGGAGTGGTTTGGTCCTCATTGCTCGATGCTAGAACAGTGATACAATGGTCTCCATACTGTGCCCTACTGTCTCCTACTTCTAATTTTGATCACTTCTGTGAGGAAAAAAAAAAATCTGGCACCACTTGGCCTCCTTGTTGCCTGTCTCTTCTGGCAGGAAAATGGAAATCTTCAATTTACAAACTCTTTGTCAAAACTCTCTCTTTTGTTTCAGGGTTTTAATGTTCTCCTGAGAAGAGCACTTTTCCAGAGTGCAGCAGAATTGCTGGATCCTCTTTGTGTTGAACACAGTAAGTGATACTTTCACATGTTTTGGCCTTTAGACTTTCAGAAGTTGTTAAGGTGAGATGGGATCAGTTTGATCCCATCCCACTGAGTGCTGTAAGGTATGTCCTTCCAGCCAAACAAACCCACCAGTGAAAAGAATTACTGTACTCTCCCATGCACTTCTAAAAAATTATGGAAAAAAAACAAATGGCATCAGACAGATGTGTCTGGGAAGTGTTGACTGATAAGTTATCAAAGTGACACATTAATCACCAATTAATGCAGTTCTTACTAGCAGTTGAGCCTCGCTTTTGTTTAGTTTTCTCCCTGGGAATGTCACATGGAAACATGAAATGTCTTGCATGAGTGGAATTTTGGGCTGTGACTCGTGATCTTAGGCAATTAGTATTGAAACAATGTTTAAAAAAAAAAGTGTTTCCTACAGTCTGCATCATTCATTAGTTAAAATGCATGTTGCCCAAGGAGAGAGTGAAAAGTTTACCTTAATTGTATATAATTTAATATAAATAGATATAAACAGCAATGCTACTTAACACACATAGCTGTGATTAGGAACATCCCCCTTCACTCAGGCTCTGCTGGGGGAAACAAGATCAGAGATTACTTTAGAGGAGGAGCAAAGTTACCTAAACAGACAAGAAAAACTGGAATGGAGTGTCAAAATGACTTGCCTGATGTCACATGGCAGGTCAGTGACAGAGCTGGGACTGAAATGGTGACAAATCATGGGCCTGTTTGGTCTTATTCTGGGGGACTTGGGGGAAGGAAAACAATAGTGGTTTTTACTGAGCATGGTGTCATAGCTGTTTCACACACACAGTGAAAAATACACTTAATTTATTCCTTTTAGGAAACTAATTTAAAGCAAAGTTTTAGTACTGTTTTCTTTAATTTTATGACTTGAAAATATTTATAAATCTTGGGTTTTACCTTAAAACTGAGACAGTTTCCCTTTCTTAAAGTGACAAAGGTCTTTTTGCATCTGAAATATTGATGTTCCACTCTTTATCCTTCATTGAACCTCTCCGTCAAGAGGAAAAAGTGACAAAGTTTGAGGGATCCCCTACTTCATGTAAAAAATTACCTGAAAAAAGAATTAAGTTTTAGCTTAAATAAGACACCTTTTGCTTGAGCTTCAGTAACTCTATCAGATAACCAGGGCCACGTCTATAAAATATTTTGGCCGCGTTCAGCTGAGCATGGGCTGAGGTGGTCCCTGTCCTGCTTGTGCAGATGAAATTGGTTGCTGAGTGTGTGTTTGCAAATGCTTGAGGCTGAAAGGGGGGTACCTTCCCCTGTCCAGGTCGGAGAGGGGCTGCTCAGCCAGGCCACGGTGCCCTGACAGGAGGGACTGCTTTCACCACCTGTCCTGCTGCTCCATGGAACTGGGAGGTGGAAAACCGGAATTAGTGCACAAAAAAACGCTCCTTGTGCTGTCCATGGACACATAGCCAGGTCTCAGTGGTGTTATTCCCACCCTGAAAATCCCTGAGCCGGCCTGAGTCACCCAGGGCTGACATGGACAATGGACACGGACATGGGATTCATCCTGTCTTGACAGGACGAGAGGACACAGCCTCAAGCTGTGCCAGGGGAGGCTCAAGCTGGACATCAGGAGGAATTTCTTCATGGAAAGGGTTATCAAACATAGCACCGGGCTGCCCAGGGAGGTGATGGAATCCCCATCCCGGAGGTGCTCAAGAAACGACTGGAGGCGGCACTGAGATGACAAGGTGGTGATCGGTCCAAGGACGGACTCGATGGTCTTGGAGGATCTTTTCCAACCTTATGAATTCTGCGATTCTCCGTGTGCGGAGCCCGGCAGATCTCCCCGCAGGGGTCGGGCCGTACCGGGACAGGGACAGGAGCAGGGGCAGGGGCAGGGGCAGGACCCGACCGCCCCCTCGGGGGCCGTGCCGGGCTGTGCCGGGGCCGGGCGGGTGGGCGGGGAGGCAGCGCCGGCCCGGCCCGGCCGCGCTATAAGAGCCGGAGCGCCGGCCCCGAACTGCTCTGTGGCCGGAGCTGCGTTCGCCGGGAGCGGGGAGGAACTGTGTGCTGTCACCATGTGCGGTGAGTGGAGTGGCGGCCCCGCCGGACAAAGCGAGCAGAGCCCGGCGCCTCCTCTGCCGCTTTGTCCCCGAGCCCGGGGGGCGCCGCGGCTGCGGGATCGCTCGGGACTGGCATCCCGTTTGGGGGGTGGGAAGGACAGGGAGCCCCCGGCAGGTGAAGGTGAAGCCCCCTCCGCCCGACCCTTCTCCCAAGGAGAGGCGATGGTCGTTCAGGTCCCCCCACCCTCCTTCCTCCGTGCCTGGCGCCTTGTGATGGAAATCGCCCTGTTCCCATCGCCCGGCTGCTCCGGGAGTGTCCGGGTACGTGGTTAAACTCTGCTCCTCCTGGTCCCGCTGCCTCTGAGGCACGGGCTGCTGGAGACACTAGGTTCTGTCTTTCCTAATCCAGGACTAGTCGTGACTCACTTCCCAACTGCGGCGATAGGGAGAGTTTTGTGGTTTTCAAACAAAGGCAGTGAAGGAGCCTAACTCTTAACTGATGTGCGTTTATTTACCCTCTTTTAATGAAGATGAGATGGTGAAGATGATTCCTACATCGTGTATACGATTGCTTAGATATACTTTGGATCAGATTAAAATCCAAGTGTAGGTTCAGAAGGTGTTAATGCAGTTGCATTTAGCTTCAGTGAAAGTTTGCCTGTCCCATCACTGACATCACTCAGGTCTGGGAGGATACTTCTCTTGAAAGTAGAAAAATTTGCACTTGTACTGAGTCGTCATGAACAAAACCTCTTTTGTGAGATGCAGGCGGAAAGTGAGTTGAGTTGCTGCTCCCAAAATTCCACTTTCCGAGTTAATCTTTTCCCTGCCTCCACATCCTCTTTGATTGTAACCTCAAAAAGAGCGCGGAGCCCAGCAAGCCTCTTTCGCTTGAATGGAAATACGAGGTGATGTTGTGTGAGCTCCTATTGTTTGAGCTCCTACGTGACAGATCGCTATCAATGAGACAAACTCCGGTGTCTTCTAAACAAAGCCCCTTCAGGTGAGAGACGTGGCTCAGTGCCTAAGCCACCCAAAGGTACTGATGGCAAGCACGAAGCAGTGAGGCACGTAATGGTAATGTAAAAAAAAAAAAAAAAAAAAAATTGGGAATCTGGACTCTATGATCTTTGGGAAATGAGGGTGTTAACAGGGTTAAAGGAGTTTTGTGAAACGTCTGGCTTGGGGTGGAGTAGCTGAGTCAGTATGCAAAGAGCAGCAGTCTATGAAGTGCAGTGAGAGTAGTGCTAGTTTTTCTCCCTATCAACTTTTAGAGACCATTTATGTGACATTTATTCTCATCATGAAAGATGTCCCCCAGCTTGCTGTGCTGATCTGCTGTAGGAAGTACAGGAGCTCTTGAGATTGTAACCAATAGTTTCTAAATTACTTTTTTTGTTGTTTTTAGTTTTGCGAATCTTTCCCGGTTTAAGTGCTGATAATACATCCTACTGTGTTTTCTCTGACTTCAGATAGTACATGAAGATTTGTATACATTGCTTTATGTTTTGAAAATATGTAGGTCATAAATTATGCTATAAACATGCTGGTAAGAAAGCAAAATTGAGGTGTTATCACACTCACATGTGAGAAGACAGTGTAGCAGAAGTATGCAGGGTTTAAAATACAGTTAAGATGCTCTTAAACTGATCTAACTATTTTAAACCAAAATCAGTTTCATCAGGATGTGAAGTTCAGACTGGGACTTTCTCAAAGCTGAGTTTCTGGCACCAACAATGTGCTTACCTCAACAGAGGCTTTTTTTTTTTTTAAATAAATAATTTTGTTCAAACTTCAAGCATAGGCTGCCCCCTTCTTGATTTTGGTGAAGTCTTGCTACCGCAGGAGGTCTTGTGGAATTTTCCCACAAAAAAAAAAACCAAAAAACCCAAACCCAACCTCAATTTACTTTTCCTCCTCTTGATACTCTACTTGCAATCCTGAAAGGGGAAATATAAAGGGAGAGTCTGGCTTTCAGTGTCTGCATCTGATTGAAGCTGCTTTTAGTGATGCTTTAACAACCTTCTGTTTCTGCTTTCAGTCTCTTTCTAAAGGTAAGCCCTGCATGTTTGACCTAGTTCATGCTTCTGTGCAAACTCTGCACTTACAGAAAGTTATGAGCTAGATTTGCTCACATCAAGAGAGCAATGCCCTAGTAAAACACTTTTGAGATGCCTTCATTGGATTTAATGTTTATATGCACTCGAGTGTCCTTAGGGGGGGAGCAAGCTCAGGAAATGGGATCTAATACCTTGGGGAGGTCGTTATAAAATAACTTTCTGGCATCACAAAACTCTTATCATGAGTGTGATTCAACGAGGATTCAGTCATACTGGTGTGCTTCCAGAAGGAATTAAACTACAAGAAGTCTTAATCAGAAGTTGTTTCTACATGAGTTGAGTAATGTGCTTTGAATCTGGCCAAAATAATGACTGAGGAGGGAAGAAGCATGCAAGTGGATAAATCACGAAACAGAAACTTGCTAGAGAAACAGTGAGACTGATTTCCTTTAACTGGAGGAGTTTATAATACATTCCTTGAAGTCAGGCTGCAGCTTTTGTTTTCGTTGTAAATGGCCTCTGGTGACTTCTGCATCTTGCAGTTCACGTGTGTGGAAAGGCAGCTACAATTCCCTGGAAACAAGGATCTTTTTGACAATCGCAGCACAGGGGGAGCATTGTAAGGACTGTCCCAGAGGAAGGTCCTTCCTGGAGCTCCGTGTAGTCAAGGAGGCCACATGGAACACACAAGGCCGATGAGTCTTAAATTCGTTGTGAAATCTGGCCTAGAAAGTAGAGTTGGATCTGAGGTGAGGTGTGTGGCAATTTTTTGGAATGATGTTGAGTAATTTGTATTGAAGGAATTGGAGAATCCTGCTCTTGAGGTTCGTGGTTAGTGCCAGAGAACGGTAAATATCTGCCTGGGAAAATTATCAACAGGCTCTCAGTCTAAAGTGACTCTGTTTAACCAGAGGCATTATTTTTCAAAGCATCCATGAAGAACAGTACTTAGCTGTTGAAATTCCCAAGTACCTCCTCAAATGCAATTGTTGTCTTAATATCTCTGTTAATGTTGGGTGCTGCAGAAAAAATTAGGCTCAACTCCTCATAAATCTCACTTCTAAAGCAGAAAAGCATTTTCCACACTCTGATCTTTCCAAAATAAATTCAGAGGCAAGTGTAATAGTCTCTTAGTCTCACTGTCAAATTGACAGTATTAACGGCTTATGAACCAGTGGAGTAACCGACTTCATAACAATATTTATAAGGGAGATTTATTGGTGTATCACTATAACAGCTTCTCCACTAACGCCATTTACAGTTCAAAAGCCTTAATTGAAGGGGAAGAGGGTGTTAAATTTCAAACAAAGGCTTTCTCTATCTAAAACACTTGTCTGAACTGCTTATCTGTTGAGTTCTTGAAGTCTGCTTTTTTTCTAACTCTGGTCTCCGGTCCTGACTTGTTGCTTGGAGAAACTATTGAAACAGTGGAATCAATTGTTTCTATTTTATTGGAGTACAGATTTGCAAAACTTAGTAAAAGGGTATCCTTATAAATGTATCCTTATAAAAATCAGAGTCCCAGGAGGAGCAGTAGGCAGAGAAAAGGAACGGTTGTGTTTTCCCTTGCAGGTGACCCTTTATCATACCTTTTCTAAATATAAAACAACGTCCACAAAATCCTTCTAATAAAAAAAAAAACTTGTGTACTTTCACCTTCAGAAAAAAAAAAAAAAGAATTAGGGTGGGGAACCAACCCCAAAACTAAAAAAGGCTTCTTCTTGTTCGATGACTGCTCTATTCAAGAGAAGAGGGATCAGACTTTCAGACTCTTCCAAGGCTCTGTTTGCCAAGTAGGCAAGGAGGGAGTTCATGTCTGCCTCTGATGCCTCTGCAAGGGCTGACCTGAGGAACAGGGGGCAAGCACAGGGATCTTGTGTCCCGGAGTTTGGTTTGGCAGCATCGTTGAGTCGAGGCGGTGCAAAGGGCGAGGGCTTGGTTTTTGGGTGACCCTGTTTTGTACCTTCTGTTTCTTTCCTTTTTTGTCCTATCCCATTGACTTCTGCCCTTTCTTCGTGTTTTCTTCCCTCTTCTCTCCCTGCTGAAGTGCCTGTTGTATAGAGGATTAAGCTGGAGCCTTTCAGAAATAGATGTTGTGCGTAGTACCTACCCATGGGTATTTAAGGCCACGACTTGGATTACAAAAGTCTCCTTGTGTTAGTCCTGGTGAATATATTCCTTCTTTGAATGCCTGGATATGAAATAGATCACAATGTTCCCTTTTTCAGCTGTGGGTTTTCGTGAAAAGTAGAATTTTTTTTTTTTAACCTCTCCTCGCTGTTTAACTCTTGGTGGGTAACAGGAGGAAAGCAAAACTGGCCAGGAAAGTGTTTGTTTTGTGAGGTGAAAATGAGGGTCCCGAGTCCTTTATTGTCTTTGAACTCTTTCAAAAACACATTAGGAGGGATTGTACTAAATGGTAGGTTGGGTGCCTCTAGGGCTACTCCTGGATATTAGTTTTAAAGGGGTTTAAATTGAGTTTGAAGGCATGCAAATTCCAAAAAAATCATTGCTTCTTTCCCCATCCCCCCCCCTTCCCCTTTTCTCTTTAAACAGGAATTTTTGCTTATCTGAACTACAGAGTGCCTCGTACTAGGAAGGAAATATATGAAACCCTGATAAAAGGATTGCAGAGGCTGGAGTACAGAGGATATGACTCTGCAGGTATGTAAACTAACTCAACACATCAATTTTTAGCAACTAGTAGCTCATTACATGACTTTTTTGGGTACTTTCAGTGTCTGGCATGTTGGATTTTTCTTTCTTTATTCCACAGATTAACAAATCAAAATTAATTATCTTGATTATTGGAGTACTTCAGCTTTCCTCAGGACTTTAAATGGGGTTTAAGAAATATAAGAAAAACAAATATATGTAAAAAACAAACAACATATAAGAAAAACAAACAGGGTGTGAGGGAGAAGATCTCTATACAGGGATGTATAGTTTGTGCCTCGGCCTTTTCTGTGCATGTGAGTCCCGGTGAAAGGATGGGGAAGATTAAACTTGTATTTAAGTTTGGGAGGGTTCATTTCATGAGGCAAAATATTTCAGACTGTCCTTAAGGAAAATTTGAGAAGGCTCATCTCTGTTTTGATCTATGCAGTGGGTTTAGGCTTCCTGTACTTTCGTTTGAACATACACAGGTCTCACATATCTCTTAAAAGGATAATTTAAAAAGAATTGCTTCAGTGGTGTGTGCTTGTCTGCATTTTCTCAATATTTTCTTCATCCAGTGCATTTCATGTTTTAAATAACACTTGTGACTGTGTCCTGTATTGTAGGAGTAGCAATTGATGGAAATAATAATGAAGATAAAGAAAGGTTCATCAAGCTAGTTAAGAAGAGAGGAAAAGTAAAGGCCCTGGAAGAAGAGTTGTACAGTAAGTGTCTTAAAAATGATCCCTTTACTTTGGCCTCCCAGTCAGATATAATCTGCATCTCAGCAGAAAGTCAGACCATAAAATTGCAGTTACGATTTTTATATCAGAAATAAGCGCATTGTGAAATCCACTATCAGCTGAATTGTTTGTGCCCCCCAAACCTGCACTTTAAAAGCAAGCTGATCTTCAGATACAGCACTGTGAAATCATCAGTCTGCTCTCCCCTCTTTTGGTTGCTTCTTTGTTCAAAACCTGGGCTCCTTTGGTGCTTTTTGCTCACGTGACTCCTGTGCTGGAGGGCTGAAATGCTGAAACATGCACTCTGACAGAATTTACGACCATTCAAGCAGCTGGCTGTCATCACAATCTGCTTTATGCAGTGCTTCCATCTGTGAAGAACTGGAGTGGTGTTTTAATACGTTTACACTATAATTTGTAGTAATGGGGTCTGTTAGCCTGGCTGTTGGTATTGGCTGAAAACGCTCCAGCCTTGGCAAACAAGGTTTTAATCACGGTAGCTTGAACTTTCTGAAGTGTAATGTTGAGAAAGCAAATGGTTCAAAAGAAAGCCAGATGACAACTTTTAGATTTTTTGCTCGTAGGAATTCTCTTTGTGTTTTACTGCTTATATGTGTGTGTGAGAGAGAGACACACACTCAGCATTAAATATTCAGTAAACTGAATTTCTCATTTATAGAACAAGATGACCTGGATTCGAAAACAGATTTTGAAACACATTTTGGAATTGCTCATACTCGCTGGGCGACCCACGGAGTCCCAAGTGCAATAAACAGTCACCCCCAGAGATCAGATAAAAGGAATGGTACGTAATCTCTGCAGCTCCTGAGCTGTATGAATCTGAAATGATTCAATCCACACAGCACGTGTGTTATTACTAATGTTATGGTATCTATTTTTCATACTGGGGCTGAGCTGTTGTCATTCTAGACACTTTCACAATAAAATGTTCTCAGGCTAAAGTAACACTGTGAAAAATTAATGAAATCTGTTCTCTGAAAATTGCAAGTTAGTCAAAGTACAACATTCTTGTTATGAAAGTTAAGATTGAAAATGTAAAGTTGTCAGTATTGCCTGGGCCAGAAAAGTGTGATTTCATATAATTTTTTACTTGAGATGACTTGGTGCTCTTCTAATAGGTGTAGTTTAGAACAGCCTTCATGATTTGGAACTGTCTTCATATATGAGGTCAGAATTTGTAAGGTTCTGCCTTTGTTGTCCATGTTGTGATAAACTGTAGATTTGAAAGCTAGAAGAGATAGTTTCCAGTGTACACTTAAGGCGTTTGTTTTTTTTTTTTTGTTCCCTTTAATTTTGTGTTCTGAGTTAAATGTCTTAATTTTTCACTGCTGATGAATGTGTGTATTTTTCCCTTTAGAATTCGTTGTTATCCACAATGGAATCATCACAAATTATAAGGACCTGAGAAAATTTCTGGTGAGTCTGTGCCAACTTGATTCTAAAAGCAGAAAGCAAATGCTCCACCAATTACTGTCAGATCTTTCATGACTACAGTGGAACCTGAATTCAAGTTTCTTAATACAATTTCTAAAATATTAATGTGAAGGAGTGTGCCCAATCAAAATAACTCAGTAGCTGGTGAAGTGCAATTATGTTCTTGTAATCCTAAATGCAAAGTATTTGTGAGTAGAGTAGCAGTTTGTGCTGAGACTCTTTGAGAGGGTGTGTGGAGTGGGCTCCCTCCTGTCTCCTTGTTTCTTGGCAGATGCTAAGCAAGTTCTTAGTACATGTCTTACTACACTATTTCCCAAAGAATAACTATGGCAGGATAAGTCCTTATATTTTGCCTAATGGGGTTATGTCCACTAGTTCACTCTAGTGCTCTGCCTCTGCAGTTTCTGGTGGGAGGCAGCTGAGAGACTCTTCCTTCAGTGTTTCTTGTCTGAGGATGAACATGCTTTTTACTCTTCTCTGTGATATTTCAGGAGAGCAAAGGCTACGAATTCGAATCTGAAACAGATACAGAAACAATCCCCAAACTGATCAAATACATGTATGACAACAGAGAGAGCGAGGACACCAGTTTTTCAGCCTTGGTAGAAAGAGTTATTCAGCAGTTGGTAAGTGGGGTGTTGCTTTTTTCCTGTGCTACTTGACAAGCTGCTTGTGGGGTTCCTTAGAATTCTGCATTCACGCATTTAGAACCTCCGCAGGAATTCTTAGAAGGCGCTGCAAATAGCACTTCTAGGTCTCTAAACAATGCTTAATAGACCAAGAAATGAGATTAAAATTTTCGAGAGTTCAAAGGCTTTTCAGTGTTCCATCTTTAAACTGCAGTAGCAGTGGGTTTGGTTTGTTGAGTTTTTTGTTGTCTGGTTTTTTTTTTTTTTTTTTTAAGCAAGAGATTATCGCAGTTCTTTAATGAAGCAGTTTAATTTTAAAAAGAAAAATTAATAGGAGCCTCTGGGGGTTGAAATCTTTCCTAAAGGGCAGTGTGTTCTTAAAGGCTATTCTGATCATGTTAAAACACTGCTGTGATTCAAGTTTGGCCAATGCCTTGGCTCCCCTATTTGGAACTAGATCTGACAAGCTGTACTGATTTCCAGACTGTGAAGTGGGAATCTACTGTTACTCACTATGTGAATGCTTGAAAACTTTGATAGCTGCATTGCAAACTTGGAGAAAGCTGGCTTTGTTTCCTCCCCCAGTCCCCAGGCAGATGTTTTCCCTCCCCTTCCCGCAGTTTCTTACACTCTTTTCACCTCCCCTGTCTCCTCTTTAAAGCAGCTCTGTAGGATTCCTTGGAGCAGGGCTGGAATACACAGGGAGTGAAGGCCTGTGTGTGGGTCAGGAGGGAATAGTGGTGCAGCCACAGGGTTGAGGGGAAGGGTGGCTTCACCTGGCCACAGAACAAGGACAGAACAGTCTGACTGGAGCCCCTCCATGAGAGGAGGGAGTATCACCATCTCTCTTCTGCTTGTAAAGTAGGGGGGGCTTTGCTGCTACTTTAGGAATACTCCTCCAATTTGCCAGCTGTGTTAGTACCATAGAGTTGTTTCTGGCTTTTGTTCTTGTGTTCTGGATTTTTTGTGTGTGCGTTTTGTTTTTGGAATATATTAATGAGAATTTGCTGCTCAAAGTAGAACTAGTAACTCCATATTTTTAGCTGAAAATGTGTGATAACGCACTACATGCACATTCTTATTAGAAGTTTTCCTAAAAGTAAACATCTAACAGTCTTCTTGTTGATTATGAGTAGCATCTCTGACATTTTCATAACCCCAGACATTGTTGGTTTTATTTTTAAGGAGAGGCTAAGTGCTCACTTCCTGATCTTTAGGCTGTTGCTCTGCTAATGTCCATGTTGGCTCGTTCTGCCCCATGGCCAATTCCTTTAAAGGTGCAATCTGCCCTTCAGGAAGAGATTCCTGATAGCAGTAAAGAGTGTTCCTTCAGAGCCTCTTCAGGGAGAGGGGCCCCAGTTTAATGAGATGCAACTAATTGAGATAAGCTGCTGAGGATGTCTTTTTTTTTTTCCTTTTGTTTTCGTGGTTTCCAGGAAGGTGCTTTTGCATTGGTTTTCAAGAGCATCCATTACCCAGGTGAAGCTGTTGCTACCAGGTTTGTAAGAAGTCCAATTTTATACATAATTCATGCTTTAGGTTAAAAAAGGCTAACATCTCTTCAAGATACTAGAATATTGATGTGTAAAGTGCTTAATTAACCAAACGTCAGTGAGTCAGTAAAGAAACTCAGCATATCTTCTATCTGTAAAGTCATATTAAGAGTGTGCTAGCATTTCTCCTCTATCAAAAAGGGGAGGGAAAGGCTATTGTTCAATTTTATTTCACATATAGACTGAGATAGGTATATTCAGGTTGGCTAAAAGGCCATCAAAGTAATAGGTTATACAAATAGTGTTCTATAGCTGTCATAGCACTTATAATTTCTCTCTAAGCTCTGCTTTTATTTATGACTTGGAAAACAACTTTCGGGAAATGCAAGGATATTAAAATAGCAAATGAAGTAGCAGTGGGAATAAAGACTGTTTTATACTATAACCCAAAAGCCCATTGCTTCTGTGGTCTAAAATAGGACTGCATTAACATTGTGAAACAGCCAGCTGTACCATCACTCTAACTGGAGAACATCTTCTGAAATGAACTATTCTGTGTGTGGTTCAGGGTTGGGTTTTTAGGACTGAGAGTATTAAGAGAAGCTAATCTTGTAATGTGAGGTGTTGGTGGAGGGTGACTTGTCCTTTTATTCCTCTGATATTTTTTCTTAATAAGGTCTTCAGTGTGTCATGTGACCCATGTAATTAAAAAATTTTCTTCATACTCCACGGTTTCAGAGGTGCAGTAATGATTTGGCAAATCTTGGAGAAGCAAGCCAAGCTTAGTTAACTCCTGCCATGTGATGGCTTTAGGATCGTGGTTGAGGAGGCTCTTCCCACTTAGGGAGCGAGATGGGATATTGTCTTTCAGCTTCACAGATGTCCTTTGACTTTGTGTGCACGTTTCTTTTTATGAATTTGTTTGTTTTCCCTTTTGTAGGAGGGGGAGTCCTTTGCTCATTGGGGTTAGGAGCAAGTACAAGCTCTCAACTGAACAGATTCCTGTTTTGTACAGAACATGTAAGTTGATTATTTTTAAGAACTAAAATTACTGCTCCTTTATGATTAGAAATCAGGTCAATTGGTCTTTGTACTGTAGAAGTACCAGCTGATGCCCCAAATAGCTTTTTAGCTGAGGATATGATACTTTTATACTACTGAATGTGCAGTTCATGAAAAAGACCCATCCCCCAAAATACTTGTGTAACTGTGGTACCCTGAACCTGTATAGTCTGTAATCTCTGACCTGAACAGAGCTGGTCTTGCATTTATAATGTCTGATTTCTTTTATAGGCAACATTGAGAATGTGAAGAACATCTGCAATTCCCGAGTGAAAAGATTGGACAGCTCAACCTGCCTTCATGCTGTTGGGGATAAAGCAGTAGAATTCTTCTTTGCTTCAGATGCAAGGTAGTAGAAGTATTTAAACCTTCCTGAAAATACTGTTTTTTTGTTTAGAAGTGAGATAGTTCTGGAAATCTCATGCTGTCTTGCTGCTGTGCAATTGCTTCCTGATAGAACAGCTTTTAATTCAGATAACTTCGTAAAGCCCCCAGGCTCAGGTACTTGAAAAATGCAAAGGCTTGTCATCAGCATTTGAGCTTCAAACAAGTGCAGCCAGTGGGGGAAAATAATTTGGGTAGAAATGGACAATATCAGCTGAATATTTGGGCAGACTGTAGGTTAGTCTGGGTTGTGGTGTCAGAAGAGGAAATAGTGGTGTGGCTCCAAGCTTGGCAGATGCCTGGGCGTCAGGTGCAAGTTGATCTCAGAAACAAGGTTGTGACCTGGAGTGGGATCCCTTAGGGACAGGGGGAGGCAAGAGCAGATCAGCAGGAACTGATGCAGTGGTTCCTGAGCTTCCTCCTCTGGGTTGTGAGAGTGCAGGAGGAGCAGCAGATGGAGCCATTGCCTTTAAGATTGCTCTGTCTGCATTTGAGCCCAAAAGGAAGAGAGAGAAGTTCAGCTGCAAGTGCTGCTGTGGCATATTTAATTGCTCTGCTATCACCAGTTCTGATGTGTCAGCTTTGTTTTGCTTCTGTTTTTTTTTTTCTGCAGTGCTATCATTGAGCACACCAACAGAGTGATTTTCCTAGAAGATGATGACATTGCAGCAGTAACTGATGGGAAGCTCTCAATTCACCGTCTGGAGCGTTCGGCCAGTGATGATCCTTCCCGGGCCATCCAAACCTTGCAGATGGAATTGCAGCAAATCATGAAGGGTGGGTTGAGACCTCTGGAAATGAGTATCATCAAAGGTGGATGGTTACTGTTTGTGTAGTAGATAAGGCAGAAAACTGCTAATTTGTTGTGAAAATTATATTATATTTAGGCTATTTATGCTGGGAGCTGACAATTCCAAATTTTGAGACCAATGGACCCTACCCATTTGAGCCTTGGAAAAGTCAAAGGTGCTTCTATTCAACTCAGTATTTAGTGAAAATGTAACTAATGTTAACAAGTTGTTGGCAAAGTTTGACTGTAAACTAAGAATTTATGTGGAACACAAAAGTTTCCTTAAAAACTAATTTAGTTCCCTTGTCAGTGTTGGGAAATGAAACCAACCAAATAGAGCAACTTGCCACTCCCCCCTTTCTTTTTGCCTATTCCTAAGGTTTCGTTTAAGCTGACGCAGTCAGATTATCTTGCTACCACAGGTTGTCTTAAAAGTTCTCTTTGTATCTGAAATGGACTTAAAATAACAAACCTAAGCATTACCATGCCATGCTTTTGTAAACAGGCAACTTCAGTGCCTTCATGCAGAAGGAAATCTTTGAACAGCCAGAATCAGTTGTCAACACGATGAGAGGAAGGGTGAATTTCGAGAGCAGCACAGGTAACTCAGAGCAGCTGTTCAGGCTGCATTAGGCTGGAAAATTGTAAACATACCAATTAGGAAATGAAATGCCCCATTGATACATGCATATTTATTTGTTTGCAGTTTTGCTGGGGGGGCTGAAGGATCATTTGAAAGAAATCAGAAGATGCCGGAGACTGATCATTATTGGCTGTGGGACCAGTTACCACGCTGCAGTAGCTGTATGTTCAAATTAGCCCGAATGCACGTGTAACTCTTAATTGCTGGGGTTTTAGACAACAGCTCTTCACCTGCTTTTTCTTCTGTTTCAAACTTTGTCTTTCACTGAGGGGTCTCACCCTTTTGTTTAGTTTTTCTTGGTGCCACGTTCTTTATTAATGCTCCAGTGCCATTAACCTACCATGCTAGAAGATGACTTTTTTTCATCTTGGTATTTAAAGCTCTGGTGAGCTGTAATGATCAGTTTTTCTAATAAGAATCTGTTTAGATTATCTCTGACTCATAAGATGGCCAGATGTTAATGGGTGGCAATAGTAACAAATATTGTGTTGCTGCTTGAACGCAGACTCGACAAGTATTGGAAGAATTAACTGAACTACCAGTGATGGTGGAACTGGCCAGTGACTTCCTGGATAGAAACACACCTGTGTTCAGGGATGATGTGTGCTTTTTCATAAGCCAGTCAGGTGAGCAGCATTTGCTGTTGAGTGTGTGCTGTAAACATTGCTTTCCTTTGCCTTCTGAGCTGTGTGAGTGTGGATACAGTTATGCCGAATTTTACGCTTTTCAGGAACGATCGCTATCCCCTGCCAACCTGAAGTCAAGATGTAAATGTTTTCCAGGTGAAACTGCAGATACACTTATGGCCTTGAGGTATTGCAAAGAACATCGTGCTCTGACAGTTGGCATCACAAACACAGTTGGAAGCTCAATATCCAGGGAGACTGACTGTGGGGTGCACATCAATGCAGGACCTGAGATAGGCGTGGCGAGCACAAAGGTAATTGCTGTTCAGGGCCTGACTTTCATACTTCAGCCCTGTGGAATCCAATTAAAATTTTAATTGTAGCACTTCAAACTGAGATCATATTAGCTCTCTGCAGACTTAGCTGTTAAATGTTTTGTTTTGTCTGCAGGCTTACACCAGCCAATTCGTGTCTCTTGTAATGTTTGGCCTAATGATGTCTGAAGACAGAATTTCCTTGCAGAAAAGGAGACAGGAGATCATTAGTGGACTAAAATCGTTGCCAGGTATATTGATATTTCGGGTTTGAGGAGGCACAGGGGATGTGGGCAATATAAAACACTACTCAAGGATTTTTCTTTCTCATTTAAGTTTCACTCTCTGAAAGGGAGACAATAAGAGAAAAATGCACTGCTCGTTTCTGCACCATTTGCCAATTTTACAAGTGCCCTTCCAAGAAACTTGGCAGGAAGATTGGAATTTTCATGGGCTGGGTTTTGTAATTACAATAAAGCAGTTTCGTGTGAGAGATACTATTTGATCTCCTGAATTGATAGTTTGAATTTTTTAAAGCCTTCCACTTTAAATCAGGGTAGATAAAAGGAAATTAATTCAAGGTGACTTGAAAACGGATGTTCACAACTTCCTTTAGAAATTCAAATGGGGTGCATGAACACTTCTTAAACCAACATTAGCTTTAAATTTATGACTGTAAATAAGGCTGGAAAAATATCCTTAAACTGCAGTCAAAGTTACTAAGTCAGTGGTTGAATTCAATGAAGTGTATTTGTTCTATTAGGTAATTAGAACACCCTACGACAAGCAAACTATGTTTTCCAGTTAAAAAAAAAAAATAACATGTTTTTTTTCTGTGCCTCAACAGAGATGATTAAAGAAGTCTTGTCCTTGGATGAGAAGATACACGACTTGGCTCTTGAACTGTACAAACAAAGATCACTGCTGGTTATGGGCCGTGGGTATAATTACGCCACCTGTCTGGAAGGAGCTTTGGTAGGAACTTCTCAATACAGTAGAATGTTATTTAAAATGAGATTTTGTGGCTTCTGCAATGTAGATTATTTCTAATATTTCATTACAACTTAATTCTGCTGCAGCAAAGCTGTTATATATAACCAGGAGCATTTAACTGAACACATACCTAAGGTGAACCTGGATACGATATCAGTTTCTTGTTTCTTTCACGTAATAAATGCAGTGTTTAATGAGTCTATTTAAAAATAAAAACCTGACAATATACACCACTGGCCCATTTGAAAATGACATCAGAAAAACACGATGTGCTGGTGTTGAGAAGAGATGCTTGTGAAGGAAACTCATGAACATTCTGGTGGACGGACACATGCCCATCTCTCAGAGGGGTTTGAAGCATTAAGGGTAGATTGCATTAGCCAAGGTTGTGCTGGGTGTTTGGTTCTTAAAGTTCCTGTTGATTACTCCAGTTCTTCATCTGCAAATGCATGTGCCTGGGCAAGCTCTGCTTCCACCCACAGCCTGCTGGAAATCCCAGCAGGCAGCCCATGTGTTATCACTAATAACTGATCTCTGAAAATACCAACTTGATACCACATGTCTGCATTGAAGTGGCAGAGGTACAGCTTTGGTGTTTTACTTCTCGTGGCTGCTGTTTCTCGTCTGATTTACCAATAACTTGATGGCATTTCCTTTTTTTTTTTTTTTCCCAGAAAATAAAAGAAATCACCTATATGCACTCTGAAGGGATCTTGGCTGGTGAGCTGAAACATGGGCCATTAGCCCTAATAGATAAACAAATGCCTGTTATCATGGTGATAATGAAGGATCCTTGTTTCACCAAGTGCCAGAATGCTCTGCAACAGGTCACTGCTCGGCAGGTAGGATGTTTGACTATTACAGTGTCAGTGGAAAGAGACTGTGCACATTGTATTGCTGCTGGCTGTGCCTCCAAAAGAGGAGGCACTGCTGATTTTTGCTTTAATTATTAAGTTATAAATAAGGTACTACATCTGCATTTTAGGTTGTCATTGCAGTGAAATGCAATGTCAGCAGCAGTGAAAAAGATTGCATGTGGGTCATCTGTTCATTTAGGTTTCTTGTTTTGATGCGAATGGAATAATGTTAAAACTCTGCAGGGTGAAAACATTCAAGTCTCACAATACAGTTAAAGGCAAAAGTCATTAGACTGACATTGCCTTTGTTAGATATACTTGGGAGTCTTCAAACATATACAGGCATGCTGTGAACCAAGATTTCAAAGCAGTTCTAGGTTAGCTCTTCACTTAACAGTGCAAAATTGCATTTTCAGGGTCGCCCAATCATTCTGTGTTCTAAAGAAGACACAGAAAGCTCAAAATTTGCCTACAAAACCATTGAGCTCCCTCATACAGTTGACTGCCTTCAAGGAATCTTGAGTGTTATTCCTCTTCAGTTGCTGTCGTTCCACCTGGCTGTTCTCAGAGGATACGATGTAAGTGCTTTCTATATTTAACACTCCAGTTAGTGCAGTTTTGAACCTCCTCCTACCAGTGTAAAGTGAGAGACCCAGTTGGATGGCATATGTAGCAGAGAACTATGATAATAGTTAGAGGAGCTTGTCAAGACTGTGGTGGTACAGGTGGCATTTCAGTGCCAATCCTTCAGTTTTGCATTTTCTGAATTGTTGTCCTTCTAAGAAATTATAAAGATCATTTGCTTAGTTTGATTAGTTAAGAACGGACGTGGGACTTCTTTAGAGAACTAAATCTTAAAATGTGATATTGCACTTCAACCTAAAATAGGTCAATGCTTTGCACAGCTTGGCTTGCTGATGTGTAGGTGTGTCAGTTTGATAATGACGGCGGCTTTGGAGGGGTACCCTGAGCAAAACAAATCTGTATTTGTTAGGAGGGCTTTGGAAGCCAGGATGAATTCAACTGCGAGTCATTATCTGCAGATCTATAGTCTGTTGAGCGTGTTAACGTGTCTAGAATAAAGCAGAACTCATTAGGAAGTCTGAAAAAGCACATGAAATGAACTGTCAAATGCAGAATGTCAGCATTCCTCTGCCAATACTGAAAGTCTGTCTCTTCATTCTAGGTGGACTTTCCAAGAAATTTGGCCAAATCTGTTACTGTAGAATAACAGCCAAGAACAGCTGATGTTTTTTGCCACCAGACCTTCGAGTTGTATTTGTAGAAATGTGTTGTTCTCAGTTGATAGGTACACATTTTTTCCAAAGAGAATGACAGCGCTAACCGGAAAGTGTCGGAAGGATTTATCTTGCAGCTTAGAAAGCTTTTGATGTGCCTTGTACCCAAGTGCTTTTGCTCACAGCAAATATTCCTCTAAGTCCTGGAATTGCCAAAGAAGATAAAAATTGTTTACACATGGTATACTGAATGAACTTTTCTACTGTGCAATATATATATATATATGTACAGCTCTCTCCAGAGTTACTGTGAACATTTTTTTTAGCCTACACTACTTAACTAGTTTTAAAGATACAGTATTTATAACTACAATTGTATAGCTTTTTTTTAAGTTATTTTTTTAGTACATTGCTTACCTGTAACGTTTTGTAATGCTCAGAACGTAAATACTGAGCATGTTGACACTTCTGTACAGTTGTTGGGGATTTCCCTTCTTCAGCCTCAAACTGGAAATGTGTTGTCCCTCTTCCCCTCCCACCTTCCTCTCCTCCCCTCTGCATCTGTGTTTCATGTTTAACCAGACACTTGCAAAGTTATTCTGTGGCTGTAAATTCCCCAGCTACGTTCAAAATTTCTGCTTCTTCCAGCTCACTTGAAAAGCTAGAACAACATTTGTATTGTAAGCCACCCCAGCTCTTATTTGCATAACATGTACAGTGCAGCAGAATAAGGGAACTGGATGTCTTTCGAGTGATATTTTTGTTTGAAGAGGGCACAGTGAAACTACAATGCAATTAAAAAGTGATATAATTCTTCTTGTTTTGTGGCTTGGGTGGTTTTTTTTGTGTGTGTGTGTTTTTGTTTAGGTGGTTTTTGTTTGCTCTTTGGTTTGTTTTTTTTTTTTTTTTTAATTTGATGCCTCCACATCTCATGTCTGAGATCTTTTCCGGACATGTACTGATAGAGCAGTGTCATCTCTATAGATTCTGCTGTTGTTCACACCAGCTGCTGATTAAACCTTTACTTTCTACCTGTCTGCTGAGGTAGATGAAGGTGGGAAGAAATTTCCTGCAGGTGAAAAGAGATTCTGTGCCTGCTCATGGTCATAAAGTTGCCTCCTCGTCCAAGAAAAAGTTGCCATAAACTTGCATTTAATATGTAGAATCTAAACTCCAGGTATTAGAATTCATGTAAAAGAAACTCCAACACCCTATACTGGCACACATAAGAGAATACTCAGTACATCTTCCAGCTAGGGATAAAATCCCATTTTAGTATCATATATACCTGCAAAAGCACACTGTGCTAGCTGTGAATTAACTTGCAATAGGGAAGTATCTATAAACCTCTAAATAAATAAGGTAGACACACACATGAAGTCCTCTGCTTGTTTGTGGGGTTTTTTTTGCAAATGATCAGAAAGCATAATATTTAATTTTTCTGCATTTTATTAACTAAACACTTTACCAGTAAAGGTTTCTTCATGCTATTCCTCTTCAAGTTGGCTTCTTAATGGAGGTGTTTGAATGCTTATGTTGATTAAGAGCTTGAAAGGGTCACACTGGATTGTAAGAGGAGCTACTTCCTGGAAACTGCTCTAGTGCTTTTTATTAACCACATAAAAGAGCCCAGATCATAACAAAAAGCATAGTGATAGTCTGACCTAGGTGCCAAGAACATGTAACTCTGTATCTGATGTGTTTTGGTAAGTGATGAAGAGACCCCTTTTACTCTCTGTCTAGAATTAGCATCCTCTTCGTATTAAAAAGCCTATCAAAAAAAAAATATAAAAACACTCAAAATATATGTATATAAAAACAACACAAAGATGCTTTTATCTAGTCTCTGTGATACGTTAAATTTGCTTATTAAAAAACTACAGGTGTGTTTTTCTAAAACCATCCATGAGAATAGGAATCCTGGGAGAGGTGGAAAATTGAGTTTATTTTTAGACAGTGCCTGTTTTAAAAAACAAGCAGTCCTCGTGTCAGGGGCGTGGCATTGATGGGGAGTGGAGGGGGTATGGTTTTTGAGTGGGGTTGAAAACCAACTCGTGTTCTGTGCCATTCCGAGGGCTTCTTCTTACAGGGGAGGTGTTTCCTTCGTGAAGGGCCTCTCCTGCAGCTGTGAGGAGCCACCAGGGAGGGTTGATGGCACAACTGCCATGACGTGGTGATGCTGCTGTGAAGTGACGTCACAACTACAGTATCAAAATGATGTGACACAGTGACGTCATTGTTTACGGTGACGTCACGCCGGGCGGGGCCGACCTGCCCCCCATCCCCACTGCGGTCCTTCGCCTCCCTGCCTTATATAGCGGGCGGCAGGTCCCGCCCCCGCAGCTCGATTGGCTGGGCTCCGCCGGCGGAGACTCGCGATTGGTCCGCGGCGCTGTCAGTCAGCGGGCGCGCCGTGCGGAGCGCCGTGCGGCCATTGTGGCCGGGGCAGCGGGAGGCGGCGGCCGCGGCCGGGGCCGCTCCGAGCCAGGTGAGGGGGCGGCCGTGAGGGGCGGCGGGGCTGGGGCCGGGGCGGGACGAGCCCTGGGGCGGCCGCAGCTTCACCCGCGGGCTCCGCCCGCCGCGGTGCGGGCACAGCCAGGGCGCTCCACGGGCCGCTGCCCGGGCCCGGCCCCGCCGCTCTCCCGCGCCCCTCCGGCGCGGCCGGGCCGGGCCCTCCCTCCTGCCCCGCACCGCTCCGGGAGCCGCCTGCCCTCCGCCCGCCCTCCGCCCGCTCCCCTCTCGCTCCGTGCCCGGAGCCGGGAGGGTGGAGGGAGCGGGACCGGGGGCTGCGGGACCCGCTCTGTGCGGCCGGGGCGAGCCGGGGCTTTGGAGGCGAAGCAGCTGCTCGGCAGAAGTTTAGGGAAAGACGTGGGAAAGCCGCTCTGGCTCGGTTCTCGCATAAACAGCGAAATCGGTTCCGGCATGTTTTAAAGTTTTCCCCTCTTCCCACCAACTTGCCGTGGCGGAGCGCTGGGGTGCGTGCAGGGTCTGCCTGCAGCGTGTGTGTAACAGCTGGGTGATGCCGTGACAGGTAACAGCTTTGCTTGCTCGGTAGCGGTTTGGGTTGCTGAAAGAGGAAGGTCGACTTCTCCAAGAGCTGACAGCTACAGAGAGAGAACCTTTAAACTCTACTGTAATCCCTTGGCATTACTGAGCGACCGCCTTGTTACACTTTCGGTTTGTGACGGGCTGTTCAGGGGGTGTGAGTAGGGGAGGAGGATTTGTGGTCGGACTCCTTACCTGTTGATGTGTGTTCCTGTAAAGATTAAAAAAAGAGCTCAACACTGTTGGATGGTAGTACTTAGAAAGGCAAAGCTGAATTTGAAGTCCATTTGCAAAGGTGGGTGAGAGAATGGGGGAGATTCTCTGCACTAATATGTATGTCTGGAATAATGTGTTCTGACGCATCCGAGAAACTTGCAGCCCAAGTAAAAATTAGGACTCATGGAGAGGTACTTAGCAGGGTGAGTTGCTAAGGGTGTCAGAATACATAAAACTCGTATGTTCTGATGCCTCATTCCCTCTTTGGGTCTTCTCTAAAGAAATTATCCAGATGAAGTTGATTTCTAAAAGTTGGCTTCGTGCAGGCAAGGGAGAATTTCTCTGGTTCAGGATAATTTCATTTTTCTGTATTTTTTTGTATCTCTTATAGACAAGTGTTTCATGAACCCCTGAAGATCTCGGGCACAGCACAGTTCTTGGGTAACAAACAGGCTAATAACCTGCAACTTGATACCCAGTTTATGCAAAATCTCTGCTTTTTTGGTTTTGTCTGTAAGTCCTTTCAGAGGGAGGATCTTGACCTTCCAGCTGTACCTTTCTTCCAGTAATGAAGATTCACTGGAAGTGCCACAGCTGTTCAGGGACTGTTTGTCAAAAAATTTGGTACCTCAGAGTCCATAGCTTTGATGTAGTAAAAGAGGTTGGAAAAAAAGAGTGGGCTTTTTCCTGGGATGTACAAGGAAAGGCTGGGAGCGCTTCCTAAGGCGTCACTTTGGTCTCATTTTGGTGTGAGCTGGCTGGAACTGCATCTGAGTGCCCCTAAAATTATTGTGTAGGGGATGTAATTCTCTTCCTCCTCCCCCCTGTTGCTGCTGGGGCAGAGGCAGGAAGGTGGTAGCTCACCATTTTCCCTTTGCTGGTCCTTTCTCCTCTGCTTTCTTCTGAAGCTACAAAGGGGAAATGCCAAGTAAACTGAGTGTCTAAATTGCTGCTGGAGATGACCCAGTTGAGCATCTGCTTCTTAAAATGCTGCATAGATTTTGAGAAACTAGAAGGTAAAAGGGACTCCAGACATTTCTTAAGAATCTCTTAAGACTAACTGCTAGCAGTGTGATTTTAAACTCAGTCTTTATTAGGACTTGTAGGTCTTCAACTGGTTTTATTGCAGATTCCTTGGAGTTCATCTTCTGGCTTAAAACATGGAAAAGATGTTGCTCCCTCCTACGTGCACTGAGGAAGAGACAGGTCCAAATTCTAGTTCTTGAAGCCACCAAATTTAATTTGTGTGGCTTTGTGCCCTTCTAAGTTGGGTGTCTGGGTTGCTCTTGAGGCTTTTCTGTTTTGCATTGGCTCACAAACATTCTGGGGGGCTGAGCTGCTCTTTCTGTAGCTGAACCAGACCACACAGGACACAGCTGCTCTCATTTCCTGTTCCAAGGAACTCCTGCCTGTGCAAATCACTCCAGCCTCTAATGACACTGTCTGTCACAGTGACTGCAAAATTAAAAATGGGAGAATTTGTTAGAGACCTCTTTAGTAATTACCGAGGTAATTTCCTCGTAAGGTTTGGAAGAGGGATGGAAGCCCAGGAAGGCTGGCAGTCTGTGCTCTTGTTACTGTAGCACTTCAGAGCTAAAGAGGTTTAGTCCATTACTGTGCTCTCTGATGTAATTACTTCCCTCTAATTCATTCCTGACAGATGGATATAACTTGTTCTCTTTTGTGGCAGGAAAGTCTCTTCCAAACTAGAGCACAAAACTGTAACTCTACATCACTGTAAGGGCGCAAACTGACAGCATAGGGGGTGTTATGATGTGTGTAAGATGGGAGGGAAGGTGGGATAGGCCTGGATCAGGGAAGGGTTGTCTGGCAGAGATGAGGAGGCAGAGCCCCCCTTGGAATTTCCTACTGGACTGGGTTGAAAGGGATGTTGGTGAAACTGCAGCAGCCACCGGGATTTGGGAGGGCAGTTTTGTTTCAAACCTGTTTTGCAGTTTTAATCAAGTCTTTTATTTAAAACCCAGTTTCCTTCTGTCCATGGTCTCCATGGATTTCTGCTGTCGCTTTTATCTGCGTTCTCACTGTTTGAAAAAACCCTAATTTTTAATTTTCCTTTTTGTAATACAGAAATTAATACAGTTCTAGCACATAGTAGTAATTCTAAGTTACGGAGTAGCCTTCAAGGAGTAGAGAGTTGTTGGACTGGGGTGCTTTTGTTTGCTTTTACTTAGCTGCTTTTTGGTTTATAGATTGGAATTTGAGCATGGATTTCCCTAAAGCTGTGAAGGCTCTAATTGCTGTCTGTCTGCAAGTATTTTTTCATTAGCAGTGATAATACAAGAAACTGAAAGAATGTTTGTTTAATGGTGTGCTGTTGAAAAATTCATATATATTAAAATATGTATAATATATTTTCCATCTGGTCTACTGGAAAATTAGTGAGAAATTGAAACATCTGTTTCCTTTCTTTTTCTTTAAGATCTTGAACACTTCACCAGGTCCTGGAGAGAGAAAACTACATGACACTACACCATGACTGACAGTAAATGTGATAGTCAGTTTTACAGTGTTCAAGTTGCAGATTCAACATTCACTGTGCTAAAACGTTACCAGCAATTGAAGCCCATAGGATCAGGGGCACAGGGCATTGTTTGGTGAGTAACAAATACTTTATTTAAACATAAAAAGCTGTATTTATGTAATGTATTCTTTATAGAGGCACCAGAATGCAAATACTGATGATAAATTCTCTTGCTTACAAGGTTGTGGATTAAATAAATTCTAAACCAACTGCTAGCTGTAGTTCACGTGCAAACCTTTTTGTTTGTTTGTTTGTTTTTAGGGAAAATTAATGTAACTGCATAAATTAAAATGGTCAACGAATTTCTTCCTTTCTCATTAATCACTCTGTTTCTGGTTCTCCCATCCCCCTGTAGTTGTGATATTTCAGTGTAAGGTTGGGGTCTTTCAGCAATCCCCTCTGCACAACTCAGTTCCAGCCCAGATTTTTGTTGGGCCAAACTTACTTGGTAACAGCAGAAATGTTTGTTGATGGTGGGTTTTTAATTCCAAAACGCAGGGGAACAAACAGATGCACTCAGGAACTCTCTGATATTGAACTTAATCACAGCACATGGTGGGCTGTTCGTGCTTTAAATCCAGCCTGCAGTTTGTCTTCATCTATGAGATCTGCAGAATAACTGTGGTGACTCATGTATTGTGAACAACTCCTTCTACAGCACCTGCCCCTGTCATCTTGCCCTTTTCATGCACATTATAATAAGTTATATAAGTGGGAAAACAGTGGATTTTTGGTGAGAACGTGCCTTTATTTTTAGATTATTTACACACCCCTATTGCCCTGCTAATAGGTGAAAAATAAGCCAAATGAGAACATCATATTTCATTCATCTTCAGTGGGTTGAGTGGTGGGGGGGGACATGGAGATCCTGCACCCTGGTGATTAGTGTTTGGGTAAGATTTAATGTAGTGCTGGCATTTTCCAGGAATAAATGTTCTCAGAGTTATGCTTGTTTTAGAGGGCATGCAGGAATTTTAGGGTGCTTGTAAACTTCTCTCTTTTCATTAGAAGTAGTGGATTTGTAAACCAAATTACTTCCACTAGGACTCTGCTTCAAAGTGAAGTTCAGATAGTGTCAAGGTCAATATTTTGGGAGGAACAAGGAATGATTTGATTTATTGACTTGTTTTGAAGCTACTTGATTTATGAAGTAGCAGAGTGAAACAGGGTGTAAAATGTTCATCTTGCTGTGAAATACCTCAAGTTTGAAGAAGGTGCAAAATCTTAATTTCCTCTTGTAGTGCACAAGGGAAAGAAACAAAATACCAGGAGGTAAAATGTAGAGAACTCAGTGTAAGATGAGTGCTGTCCTGCCATGTTTGTCTGGAAAAATTGTCAAGTCATTAATGTGAGGTGCTGCTTTTTTTAATCATCCGGTGTTTAACATAAAAAGCAGAAAAACTGTTTCTGGAGTTCTGTGTCTGGATTTCATTTCTTCTATGAGAAATTTTTAATACCACTTTAATGTCACTTCATCTAGGAGAGGTCCAAATTTGGGTTAACGGGAAACTCCATTCTAATTGCTTCTATGAAGTTTTAGCTTTGATATTAAAATGTAGGAAAATAAGTGTTTTTGAGAACACATGCTTAGGAAAAAACAGTAAATGAGAGTTCTAGGAAGGTGAAAAAGTAACTCAGTGTTATGTAGAGGGTATTTCTATCTCACCCTGCAAACAGATTAGGAGAGAAATCGGATATACCTTTTGTATTTTATATGCAAAGTACAGATATCTAACTTACTGCACTTTGTTCCTGTGTATTCATACATTTGAAGCCCTGTAATCTGTTTCAAACTGAACAATTAGGTACACAGTCATCCTTTTGAAATAATTTTTATCTTCAACTTCCTGATGCCTTTTTTTCCCACTTTCTTTCCCTTGATTTCCTACATTTTCTGGTGAATCCGATTTTTCTGTCCCAGCAAATTTCTCTTGTCCTGCGATGGGACAAACCCACCGTCTTATAAATAGCGCAGCTTTGACTGTGTTGGTAACTTTACTTACAGTTGCACTTGGAGAAACAGTTGGGAGAGGTTTGTTACTTTTTGGAAAACTACCACAAGAGCCCTGAAGGCCCTGTTGCAATCCACGGGGATCCCCCTGGAATTGCTGTTGTGTGGTGGGATAGACACTGAGATTCTTCTCTGGTGTCAAACAGTGAAATAATTTGTAGACATTTTGTCAGCAGCCAAGGTGATAATGGGGTAGAGTTTGGCAAATCTGCTGTTTTAAACAGTTGCCATGATGAAAAAGTCTTGAATTCAAATGAGCAGGGATGGGGAAAGAAATTTAACACCAATTACACTCATTATTTTTTTGGTGTGTGTTTATGTAAAATGACGTGATATTTAGAAGTGGCCATAAAGATTTTTTTCTGTCTTATTTGATTTACCAAGGGAAAAAAAAATTAATGCTCACACAGTTTTTTAGCAATTTTTTTTTTTTTTTTTTTTAATTCTACCAGTCTGGTTTTATTTCTTCCTCTTGGATTATGCAGGTAGCAGACAGCTGTGGTTTTTCTTTTTCTTCCTGTTTTTATCTCCAAAATAAGAGGTTCAGGTGACGTTCTTCATATGTTCTCAGAACATACACCTGATTTATCAGATCACAGAGGACACTTCCCCTAGAATTACTCCTCTGTCCACTGCTGCTCTGTGATTGACACCGAATTCATGCAGACCCTGCTGGTTACTGATTTAATAGTAATTTGCAGGTATAGTCAATAACATATGAAAGTCATTAAACATTAAAGTCATTAACTTATAACCCCCTCAATTTATATATAACATCTCTTGGGTGAAGTGAATACTGAAACATCAGTGCTTTCATATTTGGGAGGAAAATAATTTCCCCCACTGCCTGGCTGGTTGCCTTCCTCCCACTTTGTGTTTTCTTTTGCACAGACATAAAGGCTTTGAATCTCAGAGTGATTCTGGCTTTGAACAAAAACTTCTGCACTTCACAGAACTGAGCTGAAATAAATACCAGCAGGTCTTTGGTGCAAGTGGCAGGTTGGTTCCCATTTGGGACGTGTCATTTGGGGCCTGGCTCCAAGAAAACACAGTTATCTCACGCTGGAGCTCTGCTTCGTGGTGGGGCTTTTTCCAGGAGGCAAAGCAGTGACTTTGTGCTGGTGAATTTGATATAATTTGACTATTGTTGTTGCCACAGGGGAGCTGTAATTTCTGTAGGGGTGCTACTGTGTGATGCTCCTTTTTAATTCTGGTGTTGTACGTACCGGGATGAGGTAGGAAAGGAGCTCCCAAAGAGCTTAAATGTGCTTGGAAAATATGTGAATGAGAATTCTTTCCTACCCTATGAAAGAAACATTAAATGGACGTAGAGCAATGTGAGAATCCTTATTTAAAACTGGAACTATTTAAAAGCTGGAGCTCCTGAGTAGCATGTGCTATGAATTCACGTATATTTTGCCAAATAGTCTCTGTGTAAAAAATTGAGAGTAGTCCCTTTAATCTTGTTCTCTTGATACAGATTATTTAGCTTTTGATTCTTACAGCTATTAGAGCAAGTTTACACTCTGACCTCAAACTGCAGAGGGAAGGGACAATCACAACTGAAAAATAGGATAAAATCTATGGTAATGTTCAATTTTAAACTCTTGTATTGCTCCCTTCAATCTGAGTTTTCCATTTTTTTTTCCCCCAAAAAGCAGATGATGAAGGTAATTTTCTGCTAGGCACCACAATTTTCTATCATTGCAAACTATCCACAGAAAGGAGAGTATTGATGCCTGCAGATGGGATCACAGGGACATGGTTGTGACTCTCCTTCAGCAAAGAGAAATTTCTACTGCAAATACTGAATGATTGTCAGTCAGCAAAAGTGTCCAAAAATATGCCAAATACACAGATTAGGCAGTTGGAATGCTTCTTGATTTCAAACAAGCCTGAAATATTTTTAGATCTTGCAGTTTTGAATGTGAGTCTTGAGTCAGCAGATTCACTCTAAAGACAGAAAGGAGAGCAGGAAGACTTCTGATGAACGTCAGTGCCTTCTGTTTGACCTATTTGTATTTATTAAAGGCTGTGTAATTTTAAAAGGCTGTGTAGTTTTTAAAGGCTGTTTGTTTTCTGAATCAAAACTAGATGTAGTTGGTACAAGCAGGTTAGTGGATATGCTTGCCTCGACTCTTGATTTCTTTCCTCACTCCTGCCTCCCCTTTACCCCCTCCTCTCCCTCAAACAGACTTCAACTTGTTTGTCTTTGAACACTTCTAGTGCTGCCTTTGATACAGTCCTTGGAATCAATGTTGCTGTGAAGAAGCTGAGTCGTCCTTTTCAGAACCAAACCCACGCAAAAAGGGCCTACAGAGAGCTCGTTCTTCTAAAATGCGTCAATCACAAAAATGTAAGTTGGCCTTTGTATTTCTCTCCCTCAGTTACTGTCACTTGTCAGGAAAGCTCTGGGTTTACTCTCTAACTTGCTGTCAGTAACCAAAGGAATGGAAAAATAGTGAAGAACTGCAAAGATTTGCCGTGGGTAGTGCAGTTCTGCACGATGTATGGTTAAGATTTTGGGTGAGCTGTTTGGGGGGTGAATGCCAGGGGTAGGAGGGTTTTGCTGTGTGAGCTGGCCTTGCTCTATTGCATCTCCCTTTTTGAGTTTTACTGCAGCAAAGCTTATTTAACAGTGGGATGGTTTGGCCCTTGTGATTGCACTGTAGTTAAGTCTTCTGAGCTTGGGTGATATTTTTGTTAAATACAGCGTTTACCGGTGGGGTTTGCAGAGGTGCAGCACTGTCTGACAATTAATTGATAAACAAAAGGGAAATGCCATGGCCAGCACTTGTGAATTTTAAAGTCTTTGAACCTTCTAAAATAAGCCTTGATGTCAGTAATTCAGTGTTCAGGTACAAGAATATAGTTTTATGTGACTGCTGTGTTCTGGTACTAACTGGAACTAAAAACATTGCTGGTCACTGAAGCAGTGCAGTCAGGTTCTCAAACTTTCTGGAATAATTAGCCTTTCAGAGTTGATTTTTAAGGAAGCTTTTGGTGTAGCAGAATGAAAGCAAGGTGGTCATTAAGGATGGCAGTACAGTAATTTTAGCAGTTCTGGAAATAGTACATCATAATCTAAGTTTAATGGGATGGCGTGGGGCACCTCTGTGCACGTGGTGTTGGACAGCCTTGGCTAAAATTCCTTGCACAACATGTGATTTAAAATAAGAGATTATTATTTAGGGGGGGAAAAAAATGGGTTATATTTCAGGCACTGGGGAGGGAAATAGAAAGTGTCATGTAACTTTAAAAAAAAAAAAAAAAGATGATTTTTTTTTTCCTGTCTTGGTTCCTTTGGCACACATGCTGCAGTTTAGAACTATTTCTGAATTGGCAGTTTTTCAGCATATGTGAATTAACTGCAGCCAAGTAACATTCGAATTGTATATAGTAACAGTGTGCACTTGATTTTTGAATAGTAACTTCTCTAACAGTGGGGTTTTATGTGAATTAAGCAGAGATTTCTCCTAATGTTTGTTTTTATTTTACAGATAATTAGTTTATTAAATGTATTTACACCACAGAAGTCACTAGAAGAATTTCAGGATGTGTAAGTAATAGATTTATGTTCTAATTTTCTCTGACAAATACTGGCCTAAGCACTGGAGGTGTATTTCCAGTATCCTCCAGACTTTATGCCATGAAAGTCCAGGGTAGCTAAAAGTTGAAGTAAGAAATAATAATAAAAAAAGGATATTTACCTTTTACTCATCTGTCTGCCATACTTTGCTGCTTGTATCTGGTTTATTTGTGTGGTCCTTCAGCTACAGGGATCATCTCAGGAGAATAACTTGGTCTGGATAACCTGAGAGCATTTTTTTGCTGTACCAATCAGCACAACAGTGTTTTTTGCCTCAGTTAAGAACTAAATATATTTCTTTTTTATTCAAGCAATCTCAGTTGGTTTAGAAGGGATTCATGGCCATTTGATTGGTGGGATATTCCTGTAGGTTCCAGGGAATATGCTGTTATGGTTTGTGAATGGGCTTCCTCAGTAAATGAGGGAGTGTGTGTGTCTCAGGTGTGTAAGCAGATGATGCTTTAACTTGAAAACTATTCCATGATTCTTAGTTTTTTCTGTGCTTATCTTAATTTTCTTATTAATGTTTTAGATTAAAATACAGTGAAAGGGAACATTTACATTGCAATCTCTGCATCAGCTTGAGTCAATCGTAGCTTTTCATGCTGCATCAAGTCATAATTATTCTTTGTATTACTGTTTATAAAACCAGTGGAATTTTACTGTCTTGTGAGGCACTATTCAATATTTAATTTTCAATAGACTATTTGAGTAGATAATTTAATTTTGTAACTGGTCATGCGTGGATTTTTATTATCATTAACTTTTTTGGCATTTAGGTTAGCAAAGCAGTTAACTTTATTAAACATCTCTTATGCTGAGCTTAAACCTCACGTGAGAAGACTTGGGGTTTCCTTAATGCTTTCTTTCCTTGTGCTTTAGGTATTTGGTTATGGAGCTGATGGATGCAAATCTGTGCCAGGTTATTCACATGGAATTGGATCATGAAAGAATGTCCTATCTGCTTTACCAGATGCTGTGTGGTATCAAGCATCTCCACTCAGCTGGTATCATCCACAGAGTAGGTAGTAGTAGATCATTAACAATCCTCTTTGTGAACACAGTTGTTATGAAACAGGGAGGAAGGGAAGGGGTTGTGTAAATAAGCAGATCCACCAGAGCAGGGAAATGCAGTTGTTAGTAAAGAGAATTTTTGGTTTATATTGACTGTGGAGGGTGTGTGTGTCTGTGTGTGTGTGTGTTATTCTGAATGTTAATCCTTCCTTAACTGGAGTAATTTCTTGTTAGGATTTGAAACCCAGCAACATAGTAGTAAAATCAGATTGTACCCTAAAAATCCTTGATTTTGGACTGGCAAGAACAGCATGTACTAACTTTATGATGACTCCATATGTAGTAACACGGTATTACAGAGCACCAGAGGTTATCCTTGGAATGGGATATAAGGAGAATGGTAAGTTGCTGGAGGAATGCTTTAAATCTTCTGTCTAAAGCATGTCTCTCTTGGAACGTAACTTTGGAAGGAGGAGGGAGGGCTGGTTTCCCGTCGTGTCTAAATCGTGGTATTGGAAGTAACAAAAAATTACACTGTCATAATTTGGGGGAATGTAATAGTTTTTTGTTTTCTGTGCCTTTCTGCGTTTAACATATGCTGCTCCCTCTCCCCTGCTATTGTTGTTATCTTTTCATGTGTTCACCTATTATCTTTTTGCCATTTTTTTGTTCTGCAAAAACCTTTTGAGACACTTGATTCTGGCTAACCTTAAACCCGCCCCCCCCCCAAAACCGAAAAACATCATTATATAAGTAATAAACTCTCTAATCATTATGATTTTCTTCTGAAGCATTTTCTTTTGACAGTGTGTCCCCTTTTGCTTCTCTGATTATTAAAAACTGCTGCAGATCCCTTCATAAACCATATCTTACACTCTCTTAAATTTGCACAGCACTCAAAGAGGCTGTGTGTTGTATTATTAAAATCAGCACAGCTATAATATGTTGAAATTCAGCCAACAAAATTATTGTCAGGGAAATTTTTGCATTATTGGGGGTTTTACCTGCTGATTTTTACTGGCACTGGACTTGCATGTTAGTACATCTTTTTGCTTTCTCACAAGGGCTTGGGGATACCATGGGGTTTGTGTACATGTAATTTTGGCTGTGTAAAACAAAGGGACCTTGCTTGGGCCCTTGGTAATGATAGAAACACTTTAATTAATGCACAATGTCATACAGGAAGTGCTGATGTGGATCAAAACTTGAGCAGAGGCTGTTCTGGTTGGGACAGAAATAAATTGTCTGCAGGGCTGTAGGAATACAGGGAGAGCTTACAAATAAATAATTGTGGTATTAAAAAAAACCAAACCTCTTTAATCTTTTGTCCTTGTTGCACCTAACATGTGCTAGTGGATATCTGGTCTGTTGGGTGCATTATGGCAGAAATGGTCCTCCATAAAGTCCTGTTCCCAGGAAGAGATTGTATCCTTCTTCACAGTCATTTCACAGGTGGAAACACTGGTTGCATTTTACAAAACAGACTTTAGGAACAGTCAGTTGGTGTTGATATGATTGAAAATTCGTGTGAGCAGTTTTGGTTTTCCACATTGTTGTGTTTTATTGTAGATGCTTAGATGGTTTTGTTTGTTTTTTTCCTCACTTTTGTTCATGGTACTTCATGATTTGATCATTTCACTTTTATTTTCAGTCGATATCTGGTCAGTTGGGTGCATCATGGGAGAATTGGTGAAAGGTTGTGTGATATTCCAAGGCACTGATCGTATCCTTCCCTAGTCATCCCTGAATCCCATTCCACTTCCAACAGAGACACAATTATTTTGATCTGTATAAAAGCATAAACAGTATTTTCAATAATATGTTGTCATAGATCCACTGTACTATTTGAAATTAGTGTCATTAACCAAATTGTTGAGCCTTCCATTTTATTTTCTCAGTAGACTATATTTAATGTAACGTCCAGTGGTTGAATTCATAGAATATATATATTAAAAGCTTCAGCTTTTGTGGTTTAAAAAAGGATACAGTTAGGTTTAAAAAGCAGAAAATATACTTACTGCTTTTTTTGCTCTTGTTCTTTGTAGATCAGTGTTACAAGCAAAAGCCTACAAAGTTACTTTTTACTGTGCATGGGTTTTGCTTACTATTTGTTTGAATAGTAGACTAATTTTGTTTATTGCACAATTTTTTGAGTTTCAGTCAGATTTTTTTCTTGCTTATTAGTGCTTGCTGGGCAAAGGTGTCCCAATGGCAAGCACCCTGCATGAAATGTTGGTTGTTTTTTTTTTTTTTTTTTACTCCTATTATTTAATACAAAAAGAAAAGCTTTCTTTCTGGAGGTTGTTGGTTTTTTTTTTTCCTCATTCTATGAAAATTTTGATTTTGGGCTTATTTTTTCTATAAGATTGTTATTCTTCTATTTCTTCCTCCAATATTTTTGACCAAGATTTCATAAAGTCATAGAATCAAAGAAGGGTTTGGGGTAGAAGGGACTCCTTCCACTATCCCAGGTTGCTCCAAACACCATCCAACCTGGCCTTGGACACTTCCAGGGATGGGGCAGCCACAGCTTCTCTGGGCAACCTGTCTTGATAAAATTCTGCTTTCTTATACAATAAGAAATTTACTGTATAAAAACCAAACTTTTATATTTATTTTTATATATATATATATATATTTAGACCTTAGAGATTGGAAAACTTAGTAGTACATCACTGGATCACAAACAAGTGTTCACACTGCATTAAGTGAACTGAAGTGATCGTTAATAAAGATGTTATTTGATGATTTTATGTTTTAAAATATTTCCCTAGAAACAAAATTTAAAACATTTGACTCGTTATCAAGTTCCCATTATAAAAACTGAAGGAAAATCAATTTTGTCCTTATGCCCTATATAAAATACTAATATTGTAGGAACAAACATTCAAAATTGATCAATCAATAAATAGAATCCAGCCAACAAAATCAAACCACAGCTCTCAGTTGTGGCTGTGGGTCTCGTGTGGCTCCTTGTGCTCCAAGTTTTTAAAGCAAGTGTAATATTTTTGTTCACCAGCAAGAAGCAGTTGAGTCCACCACTAGAAATACCAAGTACCTCTTCACAGATACCCACAAATCTTATAGAGGAGGACTTCCAGTTGTAATGCTAAATTTCATGACACTAATATTCAGCAGTTGATCATGCGTTATTTAGTAATACAAATGATTAATTGTTAAATAAGTCCTTTTTTTCTTTTCCTACCTTTCTTCCTTTCTATACTTATTATTATTTTACCTTTTGAAGCCTTCAGACCAACCTAACACAATTCTTCATGTATGTTATGTGTCTCTCACCTGCATGTTGTTAGCATGGGCTATTTCAATTTATTCATGAATAAATGAAGGAAATTTTGTGCAGATTTGCTAAACAAGTTACCACTTGTGATTCCCTCAGGGTCACTGAAGCTCCACCAGTCTATGTTTCAAGGGATTTCCTCCCCTGGTATGGGAGTGCTTAGCTGTGTTCACAGGGATTTTTGCGTCTTGTAAGAGTTTCAGTTTTCTTTCATGTGAAATACTGACAACTCTTTGTGGTGTTGAAGCTTTCTGAGGTTTTGTTTGTTTGTTTTCAAGTTAAATTTTAAAATGTGTTAGTATTTGGGGATATGGAGGATGGAGTCAAATACAGCATATTTTCCAGTGCTGTGCCCTTGACTATCTTAAGAAAAACTTACCCTTAAAGTCAGTAATTTGTATTTTCCCAGATGGCAGATGGGGATTTCTGGGATACTTCGCAGCAGTGCTCTGGGTGGAATGAAATGCTCTGCGTTGCCAGGGTGATGGATGCACAGAACCTGCTCCTCACTGGAGCTGTGGAGGCCTCAGTGACTGCAGAGGAGAAATGTAGGAAAACCAGGCAAGATTCCTAAGGGGAAATAATGGAAAAGTGTGGCAGCACCAGAGTGGTTTTAATGCTCTTCCTGCCCACGTGGTGAAGGAAAAACTAATTGCCTGACTGATGAAAAAAGCATGAGGGGTGTTCATGCTTTCTTGGGAGAAGTCATGCTTTATTGTGATTGGAATAAAGACTCTGTTCTTGACTTCTTTTCCTCCAAAGTCCCAAAAATAGACAAATACACTTGGCATGGCTTAAACTGCTGGTTACTTTGACCCTGAAGTCACTGGAATGGGAAGGGTGATTTTGTCATTCAGGGCTTGCCCTGGCTGCTTTACACTTGAAATCCCTCATGGGTTTCTGATAAGAGGTTTGTTTTATTTTAAATCCATCCTATATTGAGAATTTTTTTTCAACTTTCACCGTCTGTAAAGCACTTTGAAACAGTCCAGCTGAAACATTGTTTTTTACCTCTAAATTGGATAGGTCATTAAGTTTTCTGTCCTCCCCTCAGTGCTCTGAGACCTCAATAGACTGGACTCTGATTTGATTACCTGACTAACCAGGCTGTGTTACTCAAAAGAAAAACATCTCCTTGAATCTAGACTGGTGGAGATCTCACAAAAATCAGTTTCTCAGCCAGGAACAAAATTTCCTTATATATGTCAATTTTCTTTGTCTGTGCTTTGTTTTTAGCATGAGAGTTAACAATATTCACTTCTTAATTTTGATTTTAGTAACAGCTTTTCCATTGGAATGCATTCAATAAGCAAATAAAATTTTCAATCTTTGTTTCAGAAGTCTAAAGTCGTAGCATTAAAGAGTGACAATACATATCTTGGCACAATAAAAGCACCTCAGTGTTTTTTAAATACATCTTAATTCAAAGTACAGCGTATTTGTTGTTCTGTTGCATAGTCTGTCTGAGAATGAATAGGTTGAAGTGCTCGGTTATGAATTGAGCTATGAATGTTTGCAAGGTCAGTGAACAGGCTCGGCTGGAATTGCACATTTTTTTTAATCAGGAAAAACTTTAAAGTATAAATCAGAGTAGACTTAAATACCAGGAATATTAATGCAGTGTCTTTTTGGTGTGATAAATGAGCTTTGTTACCCCAAGTGGGCTGGTTCAGAGCAGGCTCTGGTATTGCTGTCTGGGGGAAATTCCTTCACTTGCCAGAGGGAGAAGGGACAGTCCTGAAGAAACATGAGGCACAATTTCAGCTTGTGGTTTGTAAATGCTATTCCTCTGAGATATTTAAATTTTGGATTTAAGAACAGAGTAATCTGTGAGTATTACCATGGCTTGATACCCTTAAAAAAAAAGAACCTGCTAAAACCCTACAGGAATTTGGATTTGCTGTTCAGAACTTCCTCTGAACCTTTTCTGAAGTTGGAAAAAACCCATGAAAACAACAAACAAAAAAACCCTCAACCAACCAAAAAAACCCCCAACCAGCCCTGCCACCAAATGCTACAACCCAGAGCTTAATTTCCCAAGGACACAGGCAGAAAATTCTTTTCTTTGGATGGGATCTATTTGTGCTTTAGGGGGTTTTTGTGTATTTTTCCCTGCCTTCACATGGCACTTCAGAAGATTACACAGCAGCCTTTCTTTTCTTTCCTGTCCTTAGAGTTGTTTTGCTGTGGATACAATTGCCCAATAAAGCTTCTTTTGGACTCCAAAAAAGTCTTGCTTTCAATACCAGCCAATAGATAATAATTAGGAGGAGATACCTAAGCATCATATATTGTGCAGCACTTCCAGCCTGCCCTTCAGATTACAAAATCTGAATTTTTAAAATTCTTTTTTTTCAAAGTAGCTTTTTGCATGGCAGCTCAGGATACAGCTGGTGCTAGAAGGACGTTCATATTTATGTCCTTTGTTCCAGTTTTCACTAGCTCTTCAGATTTTGTAAGTGCTATTTTTGTGTAGTGCGGACTTCAAATCCTTCAGCTGATTTTCCTAAAGATCTGGTGCAGATATTGATCAGTGGAATAAAGTTATTGAACAATTAGGAACACCATCAGCAGAGTTCATGAAGAAACTGCAGCCTACAGTGAGGAATTATGTAGAAAACAGGCCAAAATATCCTGGTATTAAATTTGAGGAGCTCTTCCCAGACTGGATATTTCCATCAGAATCTGATCGTGACAAGTTAAAAAGTAAGGCGAGTTTTTTTTTCCTCTCTTTTTATTTTTACTGATATTAATTTAAAATGTCTGCAGTACACCCAATTTAAAAACCTAATGTAAAATGTTTATTGGTGTCAACATTAGAAGCTGTATACCTTGTGTTTCTTTCATTTATGACAAGTTCTGGAATCTTAGTAGTAGTTGCTAAATACAATTTCCCCATCCCCAGGATTCTGTTGAATTCTCTTGATTTTAATCCATTGAATAATGTCTGTCACTTAATGTTCTCTTAAGGCAATACTTGTTATGGAGGTTATTGCTGATTATCTTTTTCTAGTTGATGTGTGCATAGAGCTCATTTTGGCTATAATTTGACTTCATATAATTACTGAGAAAATGAAAAAAAAAAAAACAAACAAACCCAACCCACTTTATTATATTCTCTAGACCAGAAGTGAAATCTGTTACTGTGCATGTCCCGTGTTCCCAGCATTTATTTCCTGTGTCAGACATTAAACTCTACAGCTCTTTTACATGTGTGTTCTTTTCACCTTTATTTTCTAGCCAGCCAAGCTAGAGATTTATTGTCAAAAATGCTTGTAGTAGATCCAGACAAGAGAATTTCTGTAGATGAAGCCTTACGTCATCCTTATATTACTGTCTGGTATGATCCAGCTGAAGCAGAAGCTGTAAGTTTGCCATTAAAATAAATTTTTAAGATACCAGTTTAATAACTTTAAAAAAAATACCTTTAGTTTGAGTCAAGAGCATGCTTTGAACTCCTTCATTAAGTCACACATAAAGCCTTCAGATCAAGGTTGAAAAGGGTTGTTGGTATTTCCATTTACTTCACAAAAAGAGGTGCCTTTTTGGTGGCAATCCAGGGCTGTTTGAAACAGGGGCTTGCTCTAAGGCCCCTACAGAGCCTTACAATGAGTATAATTTGAGTTGATGCTTTTAAACAGCCTTTTGGTGGGAGGCAGGACTTAAAAGCAAATTCTGGAGTTGTAAAATTGAGGTATAGGAAATAAACTGCCAACAGTGAAGGAAACAAAATGCTAAAAATGTTGTAATTTTTACATTTTTTAGTTGTGACTGGGTGTGTTAACCTGATGCAGTAGGCACAATGTAGATTTTTCTTTTCTTTATAGCCTCCACCTCAAATCTATGATGCACAATTGGAAGAAAGAGAACATGCAATTGAAGAATGGAAAGGTAAGAAGTGAGCGTGTCCAATGACATTTATTGTAATATCTTGTGTTATTCATGTGTGGCTCACAGTACCCATGTGCTGGATTGTGTAACTGGGGGTAACCCACTATTCCAAATAAGCAGTACTGCCTGTGGCAGCAGGAAAAGAAATCAGTGATGGAAACGCGTTCTGTGTGGTGTAAATACATATGTAGGTGTGTATATGTTCATCTATACATGTAACATTCTGAAGTCTGGTTAATAGAAAGCTGCATTTTCTTTTTTTTCTTCCCTTTTTATTATTCTTAAGTGTTTGTAATCTATATATTTTGTTTCCTTGACAGAGAATTCTCTGAAAAAAAAAAACATGGCTTTTCTCAGTGTGCATTATTTAAGCCATATCTCTTGTCAATATTTACTAGCTCATTTATTCTAGTCTTAAATAGCAGAAGAGTTCTTTGGTGTGGGTTTGTTTTTCCTCTCATTGCTTATTTATTGACCAACTAGATTAAACTGTTGACCTAAACAAAAGAATAAACAGCACTGTGGTATTGAAATCAGTTCCACCTTACAGTTTTAGTCAAAAACATTGAATGTTGAGGCAGTTAAGTTTGAAACATCTGCCATCACAAGACCAAAGGTTACAGACATCCTTGCTGACTGCTTTGAAAGCTGCTTGTGCTTTTGTAAAACAGCTTTATAGATTTCAGATGTTGATTCTGGCTTATATAGACATACATTATCCTTAGGGCCTGCACAGGTAGGTGCACTTCAAATTATCTTTGATTACTGCAAGGTAGAAAATTAAATGGATCGGAAAACTTAATTGAATCTATTTGTAAACTTTACTCAGATTTAAAGAGGTCTTAATCTATTTGGATATTGTTACTCTTAGTTACATTAAGACTGTGGATACATACCCAAGCTTCTGTGATTTAAGTTACAGCTCTGATTTTGTTGTTGTTGTTTAGGTGCCTGTATCTTAAGTTATCCTTGATTAGTAATCAAGGGGTTTAATGCAATATTTTAACTGTTTACCTCCTTAAAAATCTCCAGGCTTTCCTCAATACATCCATGTAGATTGTTCTTCAAGAACAGAGGTGTTTGTGGATGACTTTGTTATCAAAGTAAAATATCCATAGGGGTTTTAATTAAAATCAGATTTTTAAATCCAAACCTGTATAATTCTCTTATGATTGCTGTAGGCCTTTAAAAAAGAAGAGGGAAAATAAATATATCTGCAGTTGTACTTCCAGGCACACCTTTAACATTTCCTTGTACCTTGATACATGTGTGAATTATGTACAAATCCTGTGTGTTCTTACAGTGTTTTTATCTGCCTCTTCTCTCTTTCCCTCCCACCCTTCTCATAAGAATTAATATACAAAGAAGTAATGGATTGGGAAGAAAGGAGCAAGAATGGTGTGGTAAAAGATCAGCCCTCAGGTTAGTCATTGTTTCAGTAGTTCTCCTGTAACTGTCACACTCAGTGCTGGCCTGTGGCACTGGTGAATGAAGAGATGCTGCTTGATAACCCAGGTAGGCAAAATTTTGTTGTTTAGGACTCTTGAGACTGATTTGCCTTTGGAGGCCTCTGTGCTCCAGTTTTTAATTGTTATGAACTTGTAGGGAAGCTTCAGTAGTGTTGTGTGCCCTGTTCCCTGAGCTGCCTTCTCCCCAAAGGGCTCAGTCCTCAGATGAAATAGTGGGTACCATTTTATATCACCTGGTGCACAGGTAACTTTTATGTTGGCTCTGCAGGAACCCCTTCCATGCAGGGTTAAACAGCATTAGGGCTCCTTCAGAGCAGCTAATAGTGCAAGGTGTTAATGCCCAGTGATTAGAATGTCGTGCTGTCCTTAATAACTGTATCTGTTGGATTTCTTGGCACTCAGGTCACTATTCACACTATACATTGTTAGTTTTTGTTCCCCTTCCTCCACAGAAAGGGAGAAAAATAAAAATCTCTTGAAGGTCACCTCCTCTTTTGAGTGTTCTGGACCTTAGTGCTTGCTTTTCCACTCTTTAATAATTTCTTGATTTCCTAAGGATTTCTGTGGGGACAGTGCTGCTCCGAGCCCAGGAATGTGCTTATTTGTGTCTGCAATATTGTCTCGCCTCAGATTTTATTATGTTTGGTTTTCTTAGCACAGATGCAGCAGTGAATAGCAACACCAGCCCTTCCCAGTCATCATCTATCAATGACATTTCATCCATGTCAACAGAGCAAACCTTGGCCTCAGACACAGACAGCAGCCTCGATGCCTTGACAGGACCCCTCGAAGGATGTCGATGATCAGCCGTGATTGCAGACCTGACTTTGGAAAAAAAAAAAAATGTATCTCTTGTTTCCATTGGGCCTGAATTGCTTGTAAGTTAATGGAACCAAGTAGAAAAAAAACTCCATGTTCTGCATGTTCTGCTAAAGTAATGCCTGTTTTTTTTACTCAGTTGTTATGAAATTGCCTGCTTAATGTTGTAGAATGAAAGCAAATCAATGTCTAAAGAACAAAAAAAAAAAAAAAATTGAATTTAGACACTATTATAGGCTTTTCTTTGTTTCAGCCTATTTCAGGTGAGCAGTTACAATAGGCCTTTAGTCAATAACTCCTCTTCAGTGGGTTCATCAATCTTCAGTCCCCACTGGCAGGCTTCTGTGACACAGTGGTTGTTTACATTTTAGTACAGTATTGCTCATTAATAGGTTTCTTGAATGTATAACCTCTATGAAAGTTTGTTTTAGTGTGTGACTGTGGCAGTTTGCTTTATTTAACTGGAGTGTTGTATGTAAGTGTGAGCTCACATGTTGAATGCTCTCAGTTCTATCTTTAAAGGGCACTCATTCTTCCACATAGCACTTTTTTTTTTTTTTCAATTGAGCCCTTTCTGTCTTCCCTTTCCAACTGCTCTATCTTCTTGTTGAAGAGATAAATGTGAAGTTTGAAGAATATAGCCACGACTTTGTATTTCACCTGTGAGTATGTGTCTCGTAACTTCTTCAGGTTTTTTTAGTGTGGATGGAAGATACAGTGGCTTCAATAAATCTGGAGGAAGGATGAGTGACTTTTCTGTGGAGCAGTGCCTGTTTGGAGGAGGAGAGTGTGCTAAAATGTTCTGTATTTTCTAGCTTGTGATACTGGTCCTTTAACAAACATAAACAGAGAAGGAAATGATATCTGTGATGCTCTTCATTCACTGCAAGCTCTGATAAAAGGAGAGATGAACTGGAGAGACTTGCAGCCTGGAAAAGCTGCATAAATATTTTCCATTTTTTTAATGGGTCCACTCTATCTATTGAGTAATTAAAAGAAATGAAACTACCATAGTTTTGAGTCACTTGTAAATTTAAGTATTCAGTTAAGAGAGCTCAGCTCTGTTAAACCTCTCTATTTGTCCAGGGGAGGGAAATCATCCTTAATACATATTTTCTAAGTACAGTGTCAGAGAAGAGGAGGATGTTATTTGCTGTTTCAGTTCAGACTTACCAATACAGTTTTCAGAATCAGATAACAGTAGGGCTTAACTTGCTTTATGACACACCCTTGTGAGTTTGTGCACGTTCACTTTGGAGTGCCCAGGAGTGACATGCTGCTAAAGGGTCCCTTGTGTGCATGTGTGTGACTCACCTACAGAGCTGTGAGAGCAGTGAGAGATGTACAGGATGAGGTAAATCACCACTTTCTTAAAGGCACTGTCTTCAGCTGTCGATCCAGATGCTCTTGACTTGAATGTATAAATAGAACTTGTAAACCATACTGGCCCAGGCAGCCACTGCATTACTGACATATTTCTCTTGTAAAAGAAAGTTATGCATTGTTCCTGGCCTTATGAGTAGGAAAGCAGCACTTTCTCCTTATGCAAATGTTGCTTTTCTATTAAAATTTTACCCCTTTTTAATGGCTTAATTCGCCGATGAAGGTTTTACTGTCCCAGAAGGTTAAAAGAAATGAAAATTAAGAAAGTAGTTGATGATAACTTCAGAATTACCATCTGGAACCTCTAATTTTTAAAATTCTATTTGATTGAATGGTAGGATATTGGATTTTTTCTTATTGTTTGGTTTTAAACCTATGGATAACCTAATTTTATCTATGGATACTGACAGTGTATGTGAAGTATTTTTAGTGCATTTTTGTCACTGGAAAAACATTTAAAAATACCCATTTACCATATAGCAGAACAGTACAAGTTGTGTTCTTTTGCATCTTTTTTTTTTTTTTTTTGGTCCTTGTTATTTGTGTAAGTTAAAATTACTGAAGACACCTGTTCACAATGAACACGAGTGATTCATTATGGAAGTCATTTATTGGATTTCATTTTTCAAGACTTACAGATTTTTCAAGTGAAGTTGAACTGTGCTGTCTTCATTTTAACACTTAGAGCTTTAGAAGACTTCACAAAGATTTATTTCTTTTTCCTCTCGTGTTTGGATATTTGAATTTTTCCTTTTGGACTTGGGCTGCTCAGAACAACAGGGGGTTGGACCAGATGACCCCTGGGTCTCTTCCAACCTAAATTATTCTGTGATTCAAATTGTCTTTTAATGTTTTTAACACAACTGTCCTATCTCCATGATTTGAACTGGTATCTGACCTTCTCCTAGTACATACTGTTAGCTTGAGTGTGTGCTCTTAGAACAAAAAAACCAAACAACCCTGCGATTAACTGAGTTTATTTGTAAATCTTCTTGCAGGAAAAGCTGTCTCATACCTAATTTTTTAATGTCCTCTTGCTGTGGCGTACGTTGAAACTTTAGAATTTTACAGAATGCCTTCGAAACATGCATGAAATGTCCGTGAATATTGTGGATTTTGAGTCCAGGTTAATTCAAAACCCAGTTGCAAATGCACATTGATCTCCAGGAGGGCAGATGTGCAGATGCTGCTCGCACAAACCTGTGTAGGTGCATTCTGCAGCTCCCAGGCTGCTCCAGGGTGCATGTGGAGGCTCCAAATGCCCTGCATGCAGCTTCTGTCCGTGCCCCTGTGCTCCTGACTGCAGAGGAAATCCGTTGCCACACTTGTGGAATGGTTGTCAGTGCCACGGGAATCCTCACTGACGGAAAGCGAAATGCAACGTAACTTGGCAGGGGTTTAAAAATTCAGAGTGTTTGGTGTGCAATATAATCACTTGTGTTCCTAATACTAAAAATCACGTGTGTAAAGTGATGCAATTGACGATTTTTTTTTTTTTTTTTTTGCACTTTGGCATTTATGAATATTTATATGTATTTAAAGATTAAGAATGTGTGTGTATACATATATCTTAAGGAAACTGCTCAGTTTTGTAAACATGAATGTTGCTTTCCTTTGAGAGACTTTGTATAGTGTTAACACTACTGCAGTATACAACTTAAGAAATATGACTAAAATAAGTGGTGGTCAACATAGATACAATCTGTAATCTTAACTGCTCACCTGAAAAAGAGAGGGATCTATGGCTGTCAATCAGGTATTTTACCAGAAACATGTAAAAAATATGAACACTGAGTAGCTGAATGGCATTGCAGAAATGGAGTATGTTTTAAACAGTTCATTTCATCTGTGCTCATATCATTTTTCCTCAAAAAAAAAACCTTAGAAAGGGAAGCTTGGTGTTTTTACAGTCTGGGTAAGCAGCCTGTAAGTGTGCTTTGAGGAAATACGGTGATATGACAAGTGTAGGTTTTTACTGAAAAAGGCAAGAAATGAATGTCAAAATTAAGGCTTTGTCTGCATGGATAATACAAACTGAACTAGTCTAAGGGCTGGAAACTACTGTTTGCAAACAACCTTTGAAGTTTTGTAATGTTTCCAGTAAGGGTTTGTGTTTTCCTGTCAAAATAACGAAAAACTCAACCTTAGCTAGAAATCAACTGGTTGGTTGGGGTGTTTCCCAAGCTGTTAGGAACCAGAGGGCTCTTGACTTCTTTTTGCATCCTAACAGAGCATATACATGTTTATTCAAAATTAATTAAAAGGAAAAAAAAAATATTCCATATGTTTAATTTTTCTTTCTTACAGGAAGGACCTTTAAATGCTAAATCGGTTTCCTTAAAGTTATAACTTTATGGATGAGGCAGGATTTAGACATTTAAATACCGCTGATATCCGGAGTCTCCCAGAGCTGGGTGGGTGACCCTTGTGTTGTCAGAAGGGCCACCCTCCAGTCAGGGTCAGTGGGGAGGTCAGAGGCTGAAGTGCAGACAGATGTTTGTGGTGCTGCTGGGGTCGGTCTCGCAGCGATCCAGTGAGGGAGGGAAGTGCTGAACAGCCTTTGTCTGTCTATTCTACATAAATCATATGGGTTCTACCAGGGCTTGATGCTAAACCTTAGTGATGCCACCTGCTGGGATCCAAATTCTTTCCTGGGGGGCGTGGTGTGTAATTCCTGCTCAGAACTGGTTTTGATCCAGGGGCACCTGCACCCAGATGCAGAATTTGGACTTGAGTTCCTATGGATGAATCTAATGGTTTCTTTGCTTTTCCAGAGTGTCTTTGATTATTTTAATTTTTTTTGACTATTTTTTTAACATGTTGAAATACGACAGAAAAAGTGTATTCTGTCTCATTATTTTATGTTTTTTTTTTAGTTTGTCTCTTACGTGAGTGGCAGTGATGTTCTCAAAGCTTGTTACACAACTTACCAAACGAGTTTCGTTTTTTGCCCACTCTGCATGCTAAAAATGTCTGGAGCTAAACTAATGTTTTAAGTTAACCATCTTTTCTCATGTTAGTTTTGGAGGAAAGTGGAGAGAGAACCATTGTTACTGTTTGTGTTCTATAAAGTGACTATTTTTGTAGCTAAAATTTCAGTTGTTGGATTTCAATCCCACAGTATTGCTTTGTGGATATAAATTCACCTGGGTCCGCTATTTCAAACTTCATATGTATAACAAGTCCAGCATAAAATTAAACCAATAAAATGCACTCTTCTGCAGTTTGTTGTAGAAAACAGGGCAAATCATTTTGGTCCAAGAATTCAAAACAAAATGGAGAAAATACATTTAACTATTTAAGGTTATTCCTTGATGCTGCTGCTTATTTTTTTTGGAAAAGGTGCTTGCAGTTTTGCACAAAAAGAAATCGACTTTATTAATTGCTGGGTTTGAAGCACTTTAGGATTCTTCTAAATACAACCAGTATATGGCATAAAAAGGAATGACATAACATGTTTAATGTGCTTAAATTTTGGCTGCCATCTTTGCTATTTTGATAGATTTGATCAGCATGTTTCTTTAAACCTGTTTTCAGAGATTTGAAACCAGAATTTTTTTTTTTTTTTTAATGGGCTGAAATTTAGCACATGGTAAGAAATCATTGGAGAAATATCCTGTAACTGGGTGACTCGATCAGCAGTGTGAATACCTGACCATCTATTTGATAAAGACACAAAAAAGACACAGCAATGTCTGTTCCTACAGCAGGGTCAGCCGGCTGGGAGCACTAGGATTCTTTTTATAAAGAAAAAAAAAAAAAACAACTTTTTCATAACTTTTTGGCTATGCATCATAAAGTAGCTGGATGTGCTGGGGGTAAGGCCAGAGCATCTGCTCTGTGGGACTGCGCTGCAGCAGATGCTCCCTGAGCACCACAGGGAGACGCTGCCCCTGCTCTAAAATACTCAGCCCAAGCCCTGGGGTTGTCCCTCAGCAGGTCCCTGTGCCTTTGTTTCCCAGGCTGGGTCTGTAGCTCAGCTCTCCTGAGGTAACAAAAGCAGAGGAGAAAGGAATGAGGCACCAAGAGCATTTGATGTTTGTTGCTGATCACAGAGCTCCTCAGTACCCCGAGAGCATTTGCTGTTGTCTGGTCTTCTGATGGGGAGAAACTTTTTTTTGAAAACCCAAGTTGTGTCACGAGCTTTTCTATGAATTCAGACGCTTGAATTGGTGCTAATTTTTTAAAAGAAAATGTAACAGATGGTTAGCAGTGTATTTGTCTGCTTTTGATACCTATATTTTCTTAACTGGCAAGCCAAACTTTATAAAATGACTAATGTGTGTTTTCAGCTTCATCAGATTCCCAGATTTTCCTGAAGTAAAATGTTTAATCTTCCATGGTAGCTGCTGCTTCTTTGGAGCTTTCAGGTGTTTTTATACACTAATAAAATGAACACAATTAGAACAGACAGCAATACCAAACTATCCCTTTCTTTAAATCACACGTTGTGGTTCCCCAGGTGGTTTTAGCAGTTTAGTGTGATCAAGATGCCTAATTAAGAGCAAACCAGAGATACCTGTGTGCAGTTAACTCAGTGCAGTGAAGCCTTACCTGGTTGTTAAGATAATTTATAAAAGATTATACAAATCTTCATCTATTTTAAAGAGGGAATAACAAGTAGAAATCATTAACTGTTTTTGTACAGATTAAAATGTTAATTCTAGAGAATATATTCTTTAGTGTACGCCAGAACACGTGCTATTAAAGAGTATAATAGGCTCATTGAGTGATTTGTTATCAAATCCACTTTTATCCAATAAATCAAAATAAACCCCCTCCAAAACTTAGTTGTTGGAGAATTTCTTTTGA